AAATACAAGAAAACACAAAAAAATGCCAATATTAGCATTTTACTTATAATAATAATAACACCAATAAAAGAACAATAATAATAATAATAATAATAATAATAATAATAATAATAATAATAATAATAATAATAATAATAATATCATAACATTAACTAATATTAACTAACATCAACTAACACTAACAATAACAATAATAACAACATTAATAACAATTACATAAACTAATACTAACAAAAATAACTAATAATAACAATAACAATAATAACAACAACAACAACAACAACAACAATAATAATAATAATAATAATAATAATAATAATAATAATAATAATAATCATAACAAAAAAAATAATAAAAATACTAATAAAAATAATAATATTAAGCAGTAACATACAAATAAATAAATAAATAAATAAATTTAATTGAAAAAGGGATATACATCTGCCTGAAATTTCCGGATCTTCCATGGAGGATCCGAAAATCTTAGGCGGATCCTCCATGGTATTTCCGGATATTTTGGGCGGATCTCCCTTTTTCAAAAAAAAAATTAAAATTCTACGACTTACAGATTCTTCCGAAGATGCCTTCCGGCGTACGATCGTCGTCGTCGTTCATCGTCCAAAACCAGTTGCTAAACCTTGATAATTTTTTTTTAAAAAAATTTTAATATTTTTGGTGGTGGGCTCGGGAATTCTGGGGCTCGGGATTTTTTAAATGCTAGTGTTGAGTCAAAGTGCTCGGGAATAATATTAAACTGCTTGGTATACTATGTGACAAAGTGGTGGAGGCTTATATAGGTCAAATTAACACAAGGGCAAATCGGTAATTTCATATTTAAATGGTAGCGTCACCATGTAAATTGGGAGCTTCGAATTGCAGTTCACTTTTTTTATTCCTAGTTTAATTTGTGGCTTTATGTTTCTTTCTTTGGGGCTTGCACCTCTAGCTCACCCAAAAAAAAAAAAAATGTTCTTGTCTTAATTTTGCACGTATTCAAAATTACCTTTAGTTATCAATATCTTATTATACTAGGTTAATCTCGTACGATAGACTATATGAGCCCCACATACACAAAAACTTTCCTCAATTTCAAAATTTTCAATTGGCTAAAGAATTTGCCAAACCTTGACCCCACTTCAATATTCCTGAAATTTCACTTTGAACTTTGAATTTAAGTGTTTGTCACCGGTGAATGAGAGCCGTACGAATGAATACGAGCGAGAGGATTACGGCTAGAACACACCATCATACGTACGGTGCCGTTTAAGGACGAGAGTGATGAGCTGATTCAGAGAAGGGTCAGCAACGACAATGAGTTATGAGTGAAATTAGAGTCAAACTATGGTGGGGGTAAGCGACGACGGTGGACGAAATCAGAGCTAAACTATGATAGGGGTGAGCGTTAGAGATGATAGAGATCAGATGCTTCAGTGTAGAGGATCAAACCAACTGTTTCAGCAGAACAAATCTAGGTTAATTATTCATTTGTATTGTTTTAGCATAAAAAATGAAATTGAAAATGTTTAGTAATTCTTCATTTGTATTATTTGAACATCAAAAATGGATTTGTAAATGAAGTTTTACGAAAAAAAACTTGGTATCGAAATTTATGAATTTGTTATGGATTTTGAAGGAAAGTTTTTTTTAATTGTAAGTAGTATTTAACTCGTGTGATGCACGGGTCAAACTTTTAATGAACTTTTTTTGGTGAAAGATTGCTCTATCATATTAGAAGTGCTTTTGGATTGGATTCAAGGTATGTAGGTAAATACCAAATGTATTATAGTAGTGAAGTGAAGCACAGTGAACCTATAGTTGTAGTATAAATAAAATTTATAGCAGTACAATACAGCAGAGTTATGTAAAAGATCTAATATTTATACAATAAATTGAATTGCTACATTAAAGAGCAAGTAATGATACTTTTTCATTTTTACATATCTCATATACCCATGACTAGTAAAGATAATTTTATGTAAAATCATATGTTTAAGAATTTTTTAAAAAACCCTCTTATTATTGTTTCTATTCTCGAAGACTAATTGTTCTTGTAATACACACCTGCAATACATAATATAATAAATTTGAAGTAATATAGCGATTTTACAACAATTAAGAAGATCTAGGAAAAGAAAAAAAAAAAGCAATACCTCTAAAGTTTGAAGGCATGATATAGGACTGATATATACTCTGTATTGAGTTGCAAATAATAAAGATGTATCTCATGTAAGTCCTAAACTAAATTACGAGTAACTATAATGCATACTCCGTAATACATAAACAATATAGCAAACAGGCCAAACACAATGCCTTAAAACAAATGAAAACTCATCATGATGAATTAGCCTAATGAAACCCAAAAATGTAAAGACTTAGATATATAAGAATTAAGAAGTGTTTGCTTGTTTATCCATTGACATTAATCCCTGAAAAATCCACTCAATAAGTCTGACATTTAAGTTTTTTCCCACCATAGAAACTGTCATTTCAAGTTAAAATTTGTTTGAATTAGTCATCATGGATATGCACCGGAAATCTTGGTTCATTAATTTTTTATTTTTAATTTTTGAAACAAACGGTTCATTAATTTTAATTATTTTTTCTTTAACAAACAAATTACACCGCATACATGAAAAACTCTAAAACTGAAAAAAAAACGACTGAATATAAAACTAACGTTAAATTTTGTAATTAAATTAAATTAATTAATGATAAAAATAAAGAATTACCGGGACAAATAATGAGAGGGCTGCCGATAGGGAAGGAGAGAGAAAGATCACTTTCCGGCGACAAAACAGTACCAATTTGCGACGACAACGACAAAGACAACTTGTTGGACTTCAAAACGGATAAAAGAGAAATACAAAGGAAAATGAATGAAAAAAAAATAAATAAAAGGAGAACCCTTTGCAATACATTGTTCTTTAATGCTACATCACTCAATGCCAATAGTTTTACCAACAGAAACCTTATCAAAAATAAGTTAATAAACTAAAAAAATCACGAATTAGTGCTTTTGAAATTCAAAAGCCATAATTATAAGGACTTGTTACAAAATTAACCAGTGAGAATTAAAAAATTGTTTGATATACTATATTTAAAAAACCAGTGAGATTTATATAATTGACCATTTATGGAGCAGTTCGTGTTTTTTAATTCAATACATTGTTCTTCAATGTTGCATCACACAATGTCAATCAACCATCAAGCCAAATTTTCCTTTTATCAAATTTCCTAAATAAAAAAATCAAAACCAGAAAAATTAAGAAGACACAATCAAAATTAAATTTAAGGTAAAATTAGAAAACCTTAAAGGATACGGTTTTTTTTAAGACAAATGAATTGAGAATAATTTTACCAACGAAAACCTTACCAAAATTAAACTACTAAACAACAAAATAAGGAATTAGTGCTTATAAAATTTTAAACTGGTGAAAAGGATTATAATTTAAACCTTAAAATTTATAATTGGAGTAGGAAGAACATAAAAAAGATGAAACTCAGACCTTAAATTATAATGAAGAATAGAAAAGCTGAAATTGTTAAAGGGAGGAGATGTATATATAAACTGATGAAACGACATGTAAATGAATCTGAAAAAGATTGTTTCAAAAAAAAAAAAAAAAAATAGCTGCTTCCTAATATAAAAAAAAAAAAAAAAAAAAAAAAAAAAAAAAAAAAAAAAAAAAAAACAATTGATACTAAAAAAATTCATGTGAAACTAAAATAACTGCAACATGTTTTAAAAATACATAATTTGATAAGCTTATGTCAATCCTAATATAACCCACCATCATCAAGTGACACTTAGTAAATCCTTATCTTGAACTATTGTGCATTCGATTTCATTTTGCGATCACCATTAACCGTTAACTAAAATCAAATTCAATTCATTGCAAAGCCCTAATTCATCAATTATGTCAAATTCCAAAACTGATTACAATTAATTTCTCATTACAACCATGTGAATTAAGGTAAACAAGTAATTCAAGTTGATCATTTGCCATTTTAATTTTATATTATCTCCAATTTCAATCACCTCTATTATGCCTAAATTAAGAAGATGATTGTTGTCTGCTTTTGATTCTTAATACTTTGGAATATCTTAATGCACCTTTAATTGCCATTAATGGCCGCTCAAAAGATTAACATACTAGATTGCTAAGGAGTAATTATTTTCATGAATTTTCAGTGCCAAAGTTTTCTCTGCAATTGAACGCTAAATTTCCCTCTCTTTTCTCTACAAAAGCGAGTTTTACTAGCAAATTATAACGCCATAGACTCCCGCTCCCGCTCTTCTAGTAATTTTTTTTTTATCAATAACTTGTTGTCATCATTTTAATGGTTTTCTATGTGGGGATACATAGACTGACGTGTTGTCATCATTTTAATGCCTTTCTATGTGGGGATACATAGACTAAGTCTATGTATATAACCTCCTATCAACTTAGGCTCTATTCTTTTCACCTTACAAATATCATTAAAAATAATTTCAATTCAGTACAAATAAATTTAGTTAGGTAATAATAATTTTAATTTAGTAAATTAAAAATAAATTAATTTTTGATTAGCAAAAATTAGCAATTTTTTTACAGGAAGAAAAAAAGATTTCATTAATAAGAGATAGCCAAACGTCACTTATAAACAATAATTCCTAAGAAATCTTAATACCCTGTACAAGTACATAACGCCTTAGAATATAAATTACATTGCAGGTTCGATCAACAATCACCTTACTAAAAAAACTTCATCCGAAGCTAAATAATCTATTAGTTATTGCTAACTTGGCTTGACATTAATCGTTTGGGTGAAAATATGCAGGTCGTTCTCTGGACACTTACAAAAATTTGTAGTGTACAAGTCTAGTAAGAAAAATACTCTCGCATATGAAACCCATTCCATACACTAGCTAGCTACATTTATAGCAGACTAGCAAGTAGGTGGGATATGAGTAATTACTAGGAGTATGTTTGTAATGGTTCTATCCACATAATATTAAAACTCTGGCGAAACTTGATTTGAATTAATAAATGCTCATGCTACATTTTTTCTAGGAAAAAAAAAGAAATAAATAAATAAATAAATAAAATAAAAAATAAAAAAGGAGATTATAATGTCTGATAAGAAGTTGGTGCGTAATAAGGAGATTATAATGTCTGATAAGAAGTTGGTGCGTAATGCGTTAGCCTCATGTGGAGGATTGTGGACAACAGATGGTTACTCAAATGCAAATTTTGTGGACAACAGATAGCCAAGATTACATGCATGTTGTCAGTTGCAATTCAATTTATGGATGAAAATAAAACCTAATTATTTATCGACCCAACCATATCATAATTGTCACGTTTATAAAGCATCAAGCATATATCATAGTTTAACAATCAAATTATAATTACCATTTTTTTTTTTTTTGGTTACAGAAATAATTAAACCACAAAATTATGGCAGAGACAAAGAAGGAGGTGAATTTGCATGGAATGTGGGCAAGTCCTTGGGTTAGAAGGGTAACAATTGCCCTTAAAATTAAGGGTATACCCTATGAATACTTTGAGGAAGACTTGAAAAATAAGTCTCAATTGCTCCTTAAGTATAATCCAGTTAAGAAGTTGGTTCCAGTGCTTGTTCATCAAGGGAGACCTATTCCTGAATCATTGATAATTCTTGAATATGTTGATGAGACTTGGACAAATTCACCAAAACTCTTCCCTTTTGATCCTTATCAACGAGCTAAAGTTCAGTTTTGGGCCAATATTATCGATCTTCAGGTAGTTATTTATATGTTAGCAATTCTTTTTTGTATAGCACTATTAGTACATTGTTGCATTTTAGCCTAAGTTTATTGTGTTACTCCGTATCTTGTTAAAATCCATTCCACATTAAAGTATTACATTAACTAAGATGCCTTAGCTTACGGAGTTACCCTTGATATTGTCAATTAATTTTATATGAAATAATTTTGGATTTTATAAAAAAAATCACAGTTCAAAATCATGGTGCATGTAACTGATCCCATTATATACCATTAATAATTAAGTCCTCAATGGTGTATGTGTGTGTACAAATATTTGAGAAACTTCGGGATGTTGTCAAAGCCCCCAACGATGATGAAGAGGACAAAATCATCAAAGAAATCCAAGAAAACATGAACAAATTGGAAGCAAATGTGAAGGATTTATATTCAGGAGGTACTCATGTTAATGGTGAAAGTATGGAAATCCTAGACGTTTTGATGATCACTTTGTTGCCAATAATTAATGGTGTTGAAGAAGCTATTTCTATCAAATTCATAATCCCTGAAAATTTTCCCTTGGCTTTTTCATGGATGAAATCCAGTGATGGACTTTCAATTGTTCAAGAATCTGCTCCAAATCATGAAAATTTGGTTAAGTTTCTAAGAAAACTAAGACAAATATTTAGAAGAGTGTAATTTTCTCTAACTTTATGACATCAATTGTATGTTCTACTTTGTCTTTTTGATCGAGGAAAGAATTTTGATAAGATGTTCATTAATTGCGTACTAATTATATTTTTGTTGTATATATGTAACAGTTTGTCACGTGTTTAAGGAAAATTATGCCTAGTCCGGGAATAGAAGAAGAAAAGAACAAGAACGTCAATTTGAACATTCTAGGAGAAAACATGAAGGTTTATTATTTTTCCATGTAACTCACCTTCCTGTGAATATATATGGGGATGCTAGACATATTGATTAGTCCTTCACACTTCGTCCCAAGAATAGAGGGCAACCTCGACACGAAGTTAATGGAATTTGGTATATAACCATTGATACCAAGGATCGCTGGCACCTATTTGTGGCCTTGCAATGGTAGAAGGCGCCACCCCATCTCACGGGAAAATGATTGAATTTTTTTCGAGCCTATAGACATATTAATTCCAATATACGGAGTGCATTGTAACATTGTAATTTCAGTTCTTTTAAGAAGAACGACTATTTCACCAAATGCCACTGAGTACTTATGAAATTCACCAAATGCCATCGCGTTTTTCAGAATTCACCAAATGCCACTGAGTTTTACAAAAATTCACCGAGTGCCATTAATGACCGACGGCCGTTAGTTGACCCCACCACTTGCCACGTGTCACCTTCTGATTGGCCCGTTTTTAAAAAAAATTAAAAAAAAAACCAAAAATATTTAAAAAAATTAAAAAAAAAACCACCTAATTGCTGCCACTAGCCCACCACCAGGCAGCACCGCCATCCCCCTTGCCGCCGAAGCCAGCACCAAAAGGCACACTGGCGGCCGGCGGAACCCCTACCCTTCCCCTCCCCTTTCCCCGTCGCCAACAAGGTGAACAAGAGTGCCGCTAGTGAAGTTTGCCGACGAAGATGAATCAGCCCAAAAGCTACATAGTCAAGAATAGTCTCGATACCGTGAACGGAAGACGCAGAGCTTTGAAAGAGATCGGGATGGGTAAGTAGGGCACCATTGACGGAGAAATCGCCGGCGACATTGTTGGTAATGAGGAGGGTTTTTCCGGGGAGAAGAGTCGGAAGGCGAATCCCAATTGAGAACTGCCGGAGCTCCGTGAAAGTAAAGCGGCGGGGAACAGTACAAGTGCCACGAGCAGGGTTGCTCTAAGAGGGAAAATGGAGGGGTCAGCCTAAGAAAGAAGGTTAGCCCAGTTGTTGAAATCTCCAGCTCCGACGATTGCGTCGATGATCGAGTTGAATTGCAGTTGTTGCGGTGTTTCTTGGAGGTGCGTCGGCGGTGGTCGTGCGATGACCGAGAGCAACGAAAGAGGCGGTGGTGACGGTGATGCGGTTGGGGCGATGCTGAAGGTGGTGAAGTTGATTTCAATGGAGGAAAGGGGGTGGGGTTTCGAGGTGGTGGAAGAAGGGGGGGTGGGGTTTCGCGGGTTTGGGGTTTGGGCTAGGGTGGGTGGCGCGACAGGGAAAGGGGTGGGGGTCCGCCGGCTGCCAGCGTGCCTTCCTGTGCTGGCTTCGGCGGCAAGGGGGATGGCGGTGCTGCCTGGTGGCAGCAATTTGGTGGTTTTTTTTTTTTTAAAAATATTTTTGGTTTTTTTTTAAATTTTTTTTTAAAAAACGGATCAATCAGAAGGTGACACGTGGCAAGTGGTGAGGTAAACTAACGGCCGCCAGTCAGTAATGGCACTCAGTGAATTTTTGTAAAACTCAGTGGCATTTGGTGAATTCTGAAAAGCGCGATGGCATTTGGTGAATTTCGTAAGTACTTAGTGGCATTTGGTGAAATAGTCGTAAGAAGAATCTAGGAAACAATGGATATAACAAAAGTCCCCCAAAGTCTAGCTAATTCCTCGATTTATCATTGATTTAACTTTTTACACTAGAATATTAAAAATAAAAGTGTCACTATGCTTTTCCTAAATGGCTTAATCGAAGTGAATATATGAAATATTATATGGTTGATTATTGATTGGACAATGGACACACTTATTGGCGAGGAGTGGAATAGAGATAGAGAGCAAATGGGGTTTCACATGAAAAATTAAATCTAACAAATAAGATTATCTTTTAATACTAGTATATGAGACGGTCTTTTAGAGACAAAATACTTTGAAGGCAGTTATATCAAATGAAGGGAGAAGTTGGTGCAGTACAATATATTTCACTAAATTGATTGGTTGCTCAAATAATATTTTGTGGACAGCAGATGGCCAAGGTTTTATCTTGTCAGATACAATATCATGCTCATGGCCATTTAGGTACGCCTCCCTTTAGCCTCTACCTAACTAGTCATATCTACCAATATTAAAATTGTCACGTTCATAAAACATCAAGCATATATCCTATAGTTTCATATATCAAGTAAAAAAATATTAGCAAAAAAATTATGGCAGAGACAAAAGAGGAGGTGAAGTTACATGGAATGTGGGCAAGTCCTTGGGTTAGAAGGGTAACAATTGCCCTTAAAATTAAGGGTATACCCTATCAATACTTTGAGGAAGACTTGAAAAACAAGAGTCAATTGCTCCTTAAGTATAATCCAGTTAAGAAGTTGGTTCCAGTTCTTGTTCATCAAGGTAGGCCTATTCCTGAATCTTTGATCATTCTTGAATATATTGATGAGACTTGGACAAGTTCACCAAAACTCTTACCTTTTGATCCTTATCGACGAGCCAAAGTTCGGTTTTGGGCCAATTTTATCGATCTTCAGGTAGTTATACTTAATATGTTTGTTGTTTAAATTATTGTGTAGCACTATTAGTACAATGTTGCATTTTTAACCTAGATTGATTGTGTTATTTTGTTGAACCACCCTCAATATTATAGAGCTCATTTCTTGATACATTAAACTAAACTTTCATGTTGATCAATGCCTAATGTTGACTAATGACAATCAATATCTCTAATTATACATTGATGAAAAATTTAGAATCACATAAGCTTATAAACCTCGCTAATCCTTCTATTGTCAATTGGATTTTATGATGGAATCTTTAAAATCTTGGTTCATGTAACAGATTCCATGATCTAAAATTGGCGAGCCACTAATTATGTATTTGTGTGTATAGATATTTGAGAAACTTCGGGATGTTGTCAAAGCCCCTGACGATGATGAAGAGGACAAAATCATCAAACAAATCCAAGAAAATATGAACAAATTGGAAGCAAATGTCAAGGATTTATATTCAGAAGGTACACATGTTAGTGGTGAAACCATGGATATCTTAGACATTTTAATGATCACTTTGTTGCCAATAATTAATGGTGTTGAAGAAGCTATTTCTATCAAGTTCATACACCCTGAAAATTTTCCCTTGGCTTTTTCATGGATGAAATCCGGTGATGGAGTTCCACTTGTTCAAGAGTCTGCTCCAAATCATGAAAATCTGGTCAAGTTTCTAAGAAAACTTAGACAGCTTTTTAGAACTATGTAATTTTCTCCAATTCCCACATCAATTTTATGTTCTACTTCATCTTTATGATCCAAGAAAGAAATTTGACAAGGTGTATGTCAATTACGTATTAAGTGCATTATCAACTAGATAGGGTAAAGAAGAAGAAGAAGAAGAAGAAGAAGAAGAAGAAGAAGAAGAAGAAGAAGAAGAAAACTAGATAGGCTAAGCTGCTTTGGTAAAAAAAAAAAAACATTAAACTAAATGGTTGTTCGGATTGAATTTGATTGTGTTATTTAAATTGATTTGAATCAGTTCAGCTCCATTCATTTAAGTTATATTTGTGTCTATTGTTACTTGGTTAATATGAAATATTATTTAATATTAGACACTCGTGATAAAGGTCAGGTTACTTAATGATAGGTACAATCCGGATTTTATTTGGAAAATCCAGATATTAGATTGATACTTGGGTATGAAAACAATTCTACCAGGTCTATGTATGTATGAGCATATTTCCTTGTGGTGAGGAAACAGATGATTTATTAAGGCCATAGTATATTAAATTCATTAAGATAGTACTACTACTTTATAATGCATTAGCATATTACTATAGTCTTACTACGGGAAAAATCATATGAAAATGATTGTTATCACAATCCAATGATGAAAACCTAAGCCATATTCTGATATTCATCATCAGAAACAATGATTAGCAGTTCAGTATACCAAAACATATTTAATAATGAATTCATGATTGTCAAGATCTTGTTCATAATGTTCTTATAATACTCCGTATTACTTAAACTATATACTAAGAAATAGTAACGTATGCATCAATCGAGTTATCGACATAAAACTAAAGAACTGCATTTTATAAGCAGATACAGAGCATGCTGTGGCCCTGATATCTTTGAAGTTGTGGCTTAAGATATTAAATCGTAATAAGAGCCGGTGTTCCACACAAAAAACTTGATTTCATTAGCAAACACAACATTCATACAAAAATTGCAAGCCCTCAACAACGTATACGTGCTTATGCACAATATTGCACAAGACTAATCACACTAAATGACTAGTACAAACAAAACAGCTACCAGTTTTTTTGTTATTAGAAATACACATCACTTGTTCTCAACATCAGAGATTAAATTAGTTACTATAAGACTCGAGACTATGATTGTAAAGCTTAATTTTCGCTAACTAGCACCCCTTCCCCTTGTGATGCTTCCCAAGCTTATGATAGTGAAATTTTTTACCCTTTTTTGTTTTCCTATTGGGCGACGAAAGTGGAGGAATACTCTGCTCATGCCTAAAGAAGTTCTCTGGATCGAATTTCGTCTTGATTTTCACCAACCTATCAAAGTTGTTCTTGTAATATTTCAAACCCCAAGCGCGAGCCTCATTAACATTAGTGTTACCATCCTTGTTCATCCCCAAATCGAGATCCCTATAATTAACATAAGCTTCCCTAGGGTTCTTAGACACATAAGGCTCCATAAATTGATACAAGTCCCTAATCCAAGCCATGCTTGATTTCGCGCTAACCTCACCATCCATCCAAGTTGCAACATACTGGATCTTGTAGATAGTCCCCTTCCTATGAGGGAACGGGGTGTCAGACTCCGGTACCCTACTCATCATCCCACCGTAAGGATTCCATATCATGATGTAGCTTTCTGCCTCCATCAACTTCTTCCATAGTCCTTCAAGCCCGGCCTCAGGGATTGGTTCCCTAACAAAATCTGACTTGGCCTTAAAGTAGTTCCTAAACAAAGGTTTCGCTTGGAGCAAAACATCAATGCTAGTCCCTGTAGGGTACCCTCCAATATAGACAACTGACTCGATCCAACTCATTTCGTTGCAGTCTTTTTTAGTCAGGCCTAACTCAGGGAAAGTTTGAGCCATGGACCTAAGCAATTGATTCGCGCTGCCTAAATACAGCGCGTTAAATAAGGCTTGTACAGTCTTCTGAGTGGTGTTAGGGACTGTACCAGGCATGATTTCTACCCTGATGAAAAGATTTTCATCAAGTTTATCAGCTGCCACTTGCTGCCACTTAGTCAAGAGCTTTGTCAAACCTTGGTTTAACGTTTTTACGACTGTAAATGTTGTTACAGTCTCAGGAACAGGTACAAGTTTAACCTTCCATGCTAGAATTACCCCAAAACTACCACCACCAGCACCTCTGACAGCCCAAAACAGGTCCTCCCCCATCGATGCTCGGTCAAGGATCTTCCCGTTAGGATCCACCAACCGAACATCGATCACATTATCAACTCCTAGACCATATTTTCTCATCATAGAGCCATAAGCTCCACCAGTAATATGACCACCTATACCCAAACTGGTGCACAGTCCTGCAGGAAATCCGTGCACCTTACTCTGCTCAGATATCCTATAGTAAAGCTCCCCAGTCGTAGCCCCGGCCTCAGCCCACGCACTGTTATCGTCGATATCAACTATAACAGACCGCAGTTTCGACATGTCAATAACAACAAATGGATCACCCATCTCAGAGGCATAAGAAACACCCTCATAATCGTGCCCCCCGCTACGTACCCTGAGCTGAATCCCAAGTTTTTTGGCACATACAACAGCAGCTTGTACATGGGATTCATCTAAGGGCATGTAGATCAGCTGTGGTTTTTCAACTGAAGGTAACAAGTACCTTAAGTTATTCGCGGTCGAATTTAGTATAGCAGTGAAGGAATTATTGTTAGGAGTGAAACATGATGTAGGAAATGGGTTGGGTGGACTAATGTTCTTAGAAAGACAATGAAGAAAATTAGCTTGGACATCATTGGAATATGCTAAAGATGAACAAAGTGAGAAAATTAGGAGCAATGTTAGTGGAATAACACTACTATAATAACCCATAATTTTATTCTATGATATGATCTTAGCTTATGTATTTTTTGAGGGAGAAGTTGTGAATAAAATTGGTTATGGTAAGGTAGTATTTATACGAGTTTTATGATGACTTTTAATTGAGGTAATGCAATCGTCATGCTTTGATTATTATTACATTGGTGTTTAAATTTGTGATTTTTAGTCAAAGTTATGAAAAAGTTGTAAAAATGGAAGAAATGGATGGAGTTGCATGTATGTCCACTTTAAAGTGGGGATTGTGGGATTAAATTTGGTCAATAGTTTATACAGTGGTAAAGAGTGATTGTAATCATGGTTTTGTTATAATATTGTGATTAATAAGATAAGAAGATTTGGAGTGCAAATTTTCCTACAATTTAGGCCACAATCTTGAAGCCTCCAATCCAACTTTATATTGAGTTTCCAATTATGATGTCAAATTGTTAAGTATTGTCGACTAATTATTCTGTTTATTTAGACGGAGGCAGTATAATTTTGGTTTTTTTGCCTCGATAATTCTCATTTTATGTTGTTTTCTCTTGATTTTAAAATAAATTTGTCTCATTTGTCAATGTTATTATGCTCACAGCGGAATAGCAATATTATGTACCCAAGTTTACTCGATTAATTATTATATTATTACAATACTTTTATATTTGTTATTCTTTTCCAACTTTGCAACAATTATCAATTCTTTGAGTAGTGTCAAAGAAATCAGATAAGCTTTCATTACACAAGTTCATGTGAGTTATTCAAACCTCTTTGATGAATGATCATAGTCATCATACTACAAGACTATAAAAGTCATGCAGAAGTGTGTTAGATTTTATGATGTAAATTTGTTATATTAAATTCATAATTGATCAAATTTTATGTTTATTGTAGTAATCATATAAAAATCATTGGACGTCAAAGAAAAGATTTAGATAAAATTTAGAATATAATATGGTGAGTGTAAATCCACATCTAAATTATTTAATGGCGTAATAAATAATTTTATACACTTGCTAGTATTATATGTGTTGATCCCATGCGTTGAAGAAAAGAGATTATGGCATAATTAACCTTTGAGGTTTCTTGGGGTTGTAATTTTGTAATTTCTTATCTATAAAACATTATCATAATTTGATGCTGCTAATTAAACTAGATAAAGTTGTAATTAGTGGAAGGTGGTTTAAGAGATTCCTCAATTCTTAATTATTTCCAAGCATTCATTAATTTAGATTATAGTATCTACCTTAATTTTGGACCATTGTCATGTGCACAAACTCCACTTATTATTCTCCCTTTACAAGTTCACGCTAATCACCCAAAAAGTTACACCAATACTATTGTTAATGCAAAATTATCTATGTGGTGTTTCTTGCTAATTATGTTGTTGGTTGATTGATGAACTAATTAAAAAGTTACGTGCACCAAAAAATATTACAAACAGTTAGCTAATTAAGGAAGTTATTATAGTTTATTAAGCACATCGTTGTTTGATGGTAATACGTACAAATGAATGTAGCTTTTTGTAGGGTTAATATACATGGTCATATGATTAATTATTTGATTTTCAATTATATGAAGTGGAAATGTGGAATTACATGATAAGACCAGGACCCTCCCCGTGAATCCCCCAATTAACTTTCAAAGAGATAATTCTAGACAAATTCAGGTGTCATATTGATGACATTTTGATTTCAAGTTTTGAATACCACTCAAATCTAGAGGTGCTAATTGAGTTGAGCAGCTCGCGAGCAACTTGAACTCGATCGATTAACAATCGGTCAAAATCTCGGCTCGAGTTAGCTCGACTCGAATTTGACTCGACTCGAGATGTTAATGAGCACGAGTTGAGCAAACTCTAACTCGACTCGATAAGATCGTGAGCAACTCGATAATATATTTTATTAATATAGAATTTACAAATAAAGTTACCATGTTTAAACAAATTTGACACTTAATAAGTGTTAATTTATATTATCAAAAAAGAAAGAGTAAATCTTTAATAATATATATATATATATATATATATATATATACATATATATATATATATAAGAAAACAATATAAACTGAACAAAAAAAATAAAGGCATATAATTATAGAAGGGCCAAAACTTTAACGAGTAGATCGTGAGCTACTTGACTCGACTCGAAACTTTAACGAGCACGAGTTAAACATGTTTTATTAGCTCGAAACTTTAGCGAGCACGAGTTAAGCACATGTAAAAAGTTTTCGTGTCGAGTTGACCCCTTAGCTCGTGATCGACTCGCTCGATAAGCACCCCTGCAAACCTTTAATCAAGTAATTAAATTAATTAGTAGCATATACATATATAATATAGATGATACATTAACTTGCTCTATTTTATAAATGTTAACTAGCTTAATTAGTTAAAGTTTTAAAAGTGAAATCTAAAACTTGAGATTAACTCTTATCTACATCAATACTTCTTTTTTAGCTCTTTCTACACCAAAAATTTATGTTTCTCCCTTTTTTACATGATCCCGACTTATCTTATGTTATTTGTCAAATTGGGGTCGAGTGTATACACTTGCTATGCAATTGAATGGCCAAAAAGATTACCTATTTATGTGGCCCCCCTATGTCGTAATACTGGCCGAAATAGGAAAAGAGTGATGCTCTATGGGTGATATTTTTTAATTTCGAGAAAAACGGATTTATAAATTTTCCTTATTTATAAAGAATAAGTGAAACTTAATGACATTTAAATATTTTAGGTGGATACCATTACCTCACTCCTTGCCCTTGACATACGTAATAGAGATTATTTTTAGTGGAAAAATAGGGATGCATATAGGCGCATAGCACCTATTGATTTAGCATGTATATAGGAGGGCGTTTTAGGGTTTTCAATTTTTTTTTCGTTTGATTTTTTTCTACCGTGGTACATTCATGTGTACTATTATGCTACAATGGTACATTTATGTGTACTATTATGCTACAGAGGTACATTCATGTGTGGAAACAATTAAACGTTATTTGCATCTACAAGTCCCTCGAGTAGGGTTCGATGAGTCCCTCGCCTAGGGTTTGTCAGTTTCTAGCAATTTTGTCACAAAATTACCCTAATTCCCATAATTTTCACCCAATTTTCAAGTTCTCTACGTAATTCTCATCGACTTTCATTATGGCTGAAGGTCTTTTGCATGATTTCGAGAAAATTAAACTTACAGAAGAAGAATCGAAGGTTTTTGGGGATCGGTCGGTAGAAGTAGATGATGATGGTACGCAAAATCAAATTGCTTTATCATTGGTTGGGAAGTTGTTGACTTCGAAACCTTTCAATGTGGAAGCGATGAAACGTACGTTAATGACAGTATGGAGATTGCAGGACAAAGTGATAATTAAAATGTTAGAGACAAATCTATTTGTGTTCCAATTCCTTTGCGAGGTTGATAAGGAGAAAGTTCTTGACGGATGTCCATGGCTCTTTGATGGCAAGTTACTTATACTCAAGGAAATCGATGGAGAGGAACAACCATCAGAGGTGGTTTTCAGGTTCGCCCCGATGTGGGTCAGACTTCTTGATGTTCCCTTTAGCAAAAGAAATCGAAAGACCCTAATTGAGATAGGTGATTATTTGGGGATCTTCTTGGAGCTGGATGAATCGGAGCCCTTGGGTTGGGGTGAGTTTTTGAGGCTGAAAGTAATGATAGACATTGAACAACCGCTCCGACGGGGATTGTTCTTGGCAGTCGGTAGATCGGCCTCGAAGTGGATATCCCTGAAATACGAGAGGTTAGAGGATTTCTGCTTTTACTTTGGCAGATTGGATCATACGGAAGGAGGCTGTGCTTTTAAGGAGGAGACAAGAGGGATGGGGGATGAAGTTGTCTTCGAATATGGTCCCTGGTTGCGTGCATCACCAAGGAGACTTATTCGAAAATCTGAGAATGAAATTGCAAAGGAGAGGAGATGGAAGGAGGGGTTGTTCTCGGTGAGGAAAGGCCGTACTCCGTGTTATAATGACCCGGGTGCTGTGAAACTAGGGCCCCCAGGGGTAGCTCGTAAGCTAAACTTTCCACCCCCTAAGCCGAAAGAAGCCGAAAGAAGCCGAATTGATTAGAGTTATCGACCCCAAAACATCTAAACAAGTGTTGAGGTTGAAGAGCCTTGTTGAAGGGGTTGTTGGTGATATTGGGGCTGGGGATTCAACTGAGGAACAAGGAGTGGGAAGCAAAGACAATGTCACTTGTATCAATAATGATCCAGATGTGGTGGAAATGGAACATGATCTTCCTGTGACCAAGACTTGCAAGAGAGTGACCATCAGAAGAAGGGAGGCAGTAGTTGAAGGGGACTTCATGGTGCATGGGGGTGATACTGTTAGTAGAGCGACTGCTAAAAAGAGACGTATGGAAAGTACTTCTAGTGATGACCTGAGTTCAGCTGCACAAAATGACTAAAAAACAAAAAACTTTAACCTTGTCTTCTGTTGATGATGGGGTAAATCAAGTAGGGGGTGTTGGGGCTGTCCAACCCCCTGAAAAACAATGAAAATTCTCTGTTGGAATTGTCGAGGGGCGGGCAACTCTCGTACAATTCGAGCTCTCCGTCATTGGAGTAATAAGTTAAGCCCGAATTTTATTTTTTTGTGTGAAACTATGATTAGTAGAAAAAATTCTGAAAATTTAAAAAATAAGTTTAGTTTTTCTATGGCGTTTGGAGTTGATAGTTTTGGTAAGTCAGGAGGTCTTTGTGTATATTGGAGGGAGGGGATTTCTTTTTCGCTGGTTTCATATTCTGATCACATTTGCGGTGACTTTTCTGAGAATGGGGGCCGGACTTGGAGATTTGTTGGAGTCTATGGGTGGGTGGACAGGGCTCAAAAACATAATACCTGGGCACTTATACGTGATATTTACCAGAACTCCCCCCATCCCATGGTGTTAGGTGGCGACTTCAATGAGATTCTATGTGCCGAAGAGAAATCTGGGGGTGCTTTGAGGGAGCAGCGTGCTATGGATGCTTTCAGGGAGGTCCTTGACGAGTGTAATATGAGGGACCTTGGCCATGATGGTTCGTGGGTGACCTGGGAACGTGGAAATGATCAAACGGGTTTTATTAGAGAAAGGCTTGACAGATTTGTGGCTTGCCCAAGATGGTGTGCATGGTTCAATCAAGCTCATGTGACTCACCTAACAAAATTCAGGACGGATCATGTGGGTATTGTTCTAGATACGGAGGCTAGAAGAATTTCGAAGAAAAAGTCAAGAAAAAAGAGGTTCCGGTTTGAGACTTGTTGGTTGCTGGCAGAGGGGGTGGAGGATGTGATACGGAATTCTTGGGAAAGCCGTACAGATCCAGTGTAGTCCCCTTTTCGCTCTCCAAGGATCAAGCGTCATCTAGACATGCCAAATAAACTGCTGACTGTTGCCCATGATTTAACCAGGTGGAGCAAAGACAAGTTTGACAATTTAGGCGAACGAATTGCTGAAACAGAAGATGCTCTTAAGGAACTTCAAAACCAGGTGCGCTCCCACAGTAATTATGCCGAATGTAATAGATTGGAGGGTATCCTTGATGACCTCCATGAAAAGAACGAGGCATACTGGTATCTTCGATCGAGGGGTTCTGAGATCAAGGATGGGGACCGGAACACCAAGTACTTCCATCATAAGGCAGGCCAGAGACGGAGTAAAAATCGAATTAAGGGTCTAAAAAATGCAGAAGGCGAGTGGCAAACAGGGAAGGAAATGTTGAAAAAGTCATCCTCGATTTTTATGGTAACCTGTTCGCTAGGGGGGAAGTTGACGAGGACCTGGCAGATGAGGTGCTTGATAATGTCCCCTCTATGGTGACAGAAGGTATGAACTTATCTTTATGTCGCTCTTACTCCAAAGATGAAATTTACTCTGCACTTTCTCAGATGAGCCCATGCAAGGCTCCAGGCCCCTGATGGACTTCATGCAATCTTTTATCAGAAATATTGGCATATAGTTGGTGATGATGTGACTAGATTTATTAATAATATTATTTCTGGTAGAATTCCTCTTGATAGTATAAACCGTATTAATGTTGTTCTTATCCCGAAAGTGAAAGAACCTACTTGTATATCCCAATTTCGTCCAATTGCTCTGTGCAACGTGCTTTACAAGTTAGCCTCAAAATCTGTGGCGAACAAACTAAAGCCGCTACTTCAGGGAATGGTCACTGAGAATCAGAGTGCCTTTGTTCCTAAGCGTTTGATCACAGATAATGCTTTGATCGCCCTAGAGTTATTCCACACCATGAAGAAGAGATCCAAGAGTCGTCGGGGATCGATTGCAATGAAATTAGATATGAGCAAAGCGTATGACAGGGTGGAGTGGGGCTTCCTGAGAAAATTGTTGGTTAAATTGGGATTTGCCGGAGCCTGGGTTGATACCATCATGGCATTTGTTACTACGGTTCGATACTCTTTCATTATTAATGGTGTTCCCTCGGACCTGGTCACTCCCTCTAGAGGACTCCGTCAAGGTGATCCCATCTCCCCCTATCTTTTTATCTTAGTTGCTGATGTTTTATCTAGAATGTTACAGACGGCGTCAAAGAGGAATCTAATCCATGGAGTACGGGCTAGCAGAAATGGTCCGGAAATCACTCACTTATTCTTTGCAGATGACAACCTTTTATTTACCAGGGCCACCAGACAGGAATGTTCAATAATTGTCGACATTCTCAACAAATATGAAGCAACTTCCGAGCAAAAAATTAATCTGGAAAAGTCGGAGGTCTCTTTCAGTAAAGGTGTTCATTTGCCATCTCGGATCACTCTTAGCTCTATTCTTGGCATGGAAATGGTTGATAATCATGTTAAGTATCTTGGACTGCCAACTGTAGTGGGGAGATCGAAGAAAGCGATTTTTGCCTTTGTTAAGGATCGTATCTGGAAGAAAGTGCAAGGTTGGAAGGAAAAATTCTTGTCAAGAGCAGGGAAGGAGGTTCTCCTCAAATCAATCATCCAGGCTATCCCAACATATTTAATGGGGGTATACAGGTTTCCGGAAGGATTAATTCAAGAAATTCATGCCATGATGGCTCGTTTTTGGTGGGGTTCAAATGATAAGGGGAGGAAAATTCACTGGAAAAATTGGGACACTTTATGCCAACCAAAATGTCTGGGGGCATGGGATTTCGAGATTTGGGTGTGTTTAATACAGCTCTCTTAGGTAAGCAGCTCTGGCGTCTAGCAACAAATGAGCAATCCTTGGTGAGCCGAGTCGTCGAGGCCAAGTACTACCCCCATACGTCTGTTTTTGAGGCTGCTCTGGGTCCAATCTCAAGCTACTCCTGGCAGAGTATTTGGAGCTCCAAAGCTCTAGTTAAGGAGGGGATTTTATGGAGAGTTGGGGATGGTCAGAATATTAATGTATGGACTGACCCCTGGCTGATCGATGATGAGAGTCGGTTTGTGACTACGGAAGCCCGGCAGGACCTCTGTACGAAGGTGGATGAGATTTTCGATAAAGAAAACCATTGTTGGGACTCGAACAAAGTAGAGACCATCTTTAACGAAAGAGATAAGCGGGCCATCCTCACTATCCCTTTAAGTGAGCGCATGCCGAAGGATAGTCTTTCCTGGGCATGGTCTAAAGACGGTTTCTACAGTGTTAAAACAGCATATATCCTGGGAAAATCTCTTGCACTTGATAACTTCGAATTATTCTGGGTCGAGATATGGAAGGCGAAGGTGACTCCAAAGGTTTGTCATTTCCTGTGGCGATGTAGCTCGAACTCCCTGCCCACCCGAAATTTATTACATCACAGGCATCTTACAGAAGACCAAAGCTGCCCTTGTTGTGGAATGGATGATGAAACGTGATCCATGCTGTGGTGTTATGTTCAAAAGCTCGACAATTATGGATTAGATGTGGCTGCCATGAGGTGCTTAACAGAAGTATACCGAATTCTTTTGGAGAAATGCTGCTTGATTGGGCTAAAAATCTCTCAACAGAGACTTATCAAAAAAGTCTATTTCTCTTATGGTTAATAAGGTTTCGTCGTAATAAATGGGTCTTTGAAAGTGTTTGGGACTCGGATGTGGCCCTCCTTCTCAGGCATAGCAGGTTAGTGACTGATTTCGGTGAGTATACTGAGAGAATTTATGGGAATACTACTTCTCCAGGCGAACCAGTAGGTAGTCCAATATGGGTGCCCCCTCCTATCGACTTTGTGAAGGTTAATGTGGATGCCACAATTACAGAAAATGGCTGGGTGGGTTTAGGAGCTATAGCTCGTGATGACAGAGGGCGCATCCTCTTCTCGGCAGTGTGTAGAACAAGGGCGAGATGGGAACCGTTGGTGGCTGAATGCAAAGCAGCTCTATTTGGCATAAAGAAGGCAAGGGAGAAGAAATTGGCCAATATTATTCTAGAGTCTGATTCTTTATTGCTTGTTTCTAAGCTTAAGAAGGGGTCTTTCTCTCCGGCGGCTGTTGGTGGCATTTTAGAAGACATTGTCTATGCTTGTACGGGTTTTTCTTCCATTTCTTGGTCTCATGTAAAATGGGAGGGAAACTTTGTTGCCCATCATTTAGCTAGATTAGTGTCGTATGGTAGTGAACAACTCTGGGATAATCTTGTTCCAAATGAGATTTCCCCATATGTACTTTTGGATTCTCTGTCTATTAATTAAATGTTTCTTACTGCTTTCCTCAAAAAAAAAAAGGTACATTCATGTGTACTATTATGCATGTATAATGTATAGTGGTACTTTTTACCATTATATTTTCCACCAAAATTCCTTCCACTTTGGCCCACTTTCATGAGACAAACTTCCACTTAATAACAACTTTGCCATCCTATACATTAGCAAATCAATAGACGCTATGCGCCAATAGTTTTTCGGAAAATAGTAGTGACTCGTGAGGTTTTATGTTCTTGCTCCTTATTCTAAGAAAGTACTCCGTATCATTAATTTTTATTCTAATCACACAAGATTAAAATGATCATTTCAATGTAAACAAAAGTTCCTTTAATTAGATATAAATTACATAGTATGTTTTTTTTTTTTTGAAATTATGAAAGTTTGATATAATGAAAACATACTTTATAATTAAACTAACATGAAAAGAACCAAAAAAAAAAAAGTCATCTACTACTCTGTATATACTTTGTATTTAAGATTGAGTTATTCATTCTTGTCAAAAAAAAAAAAAAAAAAAAAAAAGATTGGGTTATTCATTAACTACGTGTCAATATACCTAGCATAAAATCATGCTTACATGCATTTTTTAAGAAAATTATGTATAAGTTTGGTTCTTAACCTTTTAATCAAATAATTATTAGCACGAGTAAGTAGGTACTAATACGCAATATAAAAGCAAATTTAGGTAAAGATGACATTGAATCAAGTTAGAGGTACAACACCAACTTCACTCCTCTCTGTTATATTTTTCCACTTTTGCCAATATAAAAATATATACTAAATTCTGCCTTATTTTTCTTTTGTTCTATTCACTATTTGTCTAGGGGATTTTTTTTTCCCTACCTTTTTCTACTTTTTTTTTTTTCAACCATTTTTTTACCCTATTACCCCATAAATTGTTCACCTTATTACTAAATAAATTTCCTTAACTTGATCTTTCTCACATACCCAAATTTTTTTACTTTGTCTCTTTTACTATATGATAGTATGCATATCAGCCTATACCCTATAGTATTAGTGTATTGCACGGATCAAATAACTAATTACTTATGTTTATGAACGTGGTTGGTTTGCAAGATTGGATTTAAGGAATGTTACATGCATATGCGATTAGGTCCGCATTGATTTAAAGCCAAAAACCACGGCAATTAGAAAAGAAAAGGTGGATGATAAGGGCTGATTGCAACTTATTAGCATTCATTAAGTGTACTTGATAAGGTAAATTTATGTTCTCATGATTGAAGACAATAAGTCCATTAAGCCACCTTGATGAAGGGATTAAAGAGGTAATTATTGCACATAATCCAAGTGTACACTCATAACCAAACTTTGTAATTGATAAATTGATGAAACTTTTTATAATCCAAAAAAAAAAAAAAGTAAAAGGATGTGAAATGACTTAAACTTTTCATGGGTCCCAATCTTCTAAACATAGTCATAGAGTTAGACTTATAAGGTGAATAAATTTGCTCGTTTCCTTAGGGTGAGGGCCTAATATGTCTTACAAAAGCATGTTATTTTTAGGGAAAGATCAAACTTCAATGATACTCCTCACCTACTAAAGAAACTAAATTGATGTCTTTGAGCCTTTCACATTTATTCCCCCACAAGGAAGCTAAGGTTGGCTTTATTATCTTCATGTAATTATAAATGTTAAAGTGTTACATTTTTATATTGGCAAAAATGTTAAAGAAAATAAATTCAGATCATTAAGATTGTGTTTATACCGTCACAACTTTTGACTCAAAATTAATTAATGCTAAACATTGTCCCATGTTGTGTATAGTTATAATCTCAGCCTTTATGTTAAATTATCACAATAGTAATTTACTTTGATACATAGTTAAAAATATTGTAGGGTAGAATAATATAAAGCATAGTTAGTGTTTGATTGATTATATTTCTAAACTTAATTCAATTCAATATACTACCTCCGTTACATATTAGTCGCAACTTTGAGTATTATTTATGAAAGATAAAATATTCTAAAATTACAACTAATATGTAACGGAGGTAGTAATTAATCTACATCCTCAAAACTAAAAACAGAGTACAAAATATTATGAGTAGAAGTATTATTAGATATAGACGATCAAGAAAATAGTGAATGAAATTAGCTAAAGAACACAAACATAAAATAGTCAAAATATAATTGGTTGTCAATGTCAACAAAAGATTTTGGATACCCCTTTTCAAATGGGATGGTCCAAAATTGGTACTATACTTCAATTGATCAAACCCACCTAAACTGTTGTGCTTGTGTAGTAAAACTTTTAGGTGAAAAACCAATAATGCATTCTTTTATCAAGTTTTAACCATTTTTAAATAATTTATTAAATTGTGTTATGTGGACTAGTGGGAAATGGACAACAAATATAGGTCCATGATACACTCTTGTAATAATTTAGTACATCTTAAATTCCAAAATCATCAGCGTATCCGCTACGCATGGGAGGCTCCCCCGACATGGAGCTAGAGAAAAATTGGTATGTTGGGTATGTACCATACTAGTATAACAACCATTGGACTAATATTGTACACCCTTTATTTTCCGGCAACCATCTTTTGTATCATTGCACAATTTATGAACTATAAAAACCTCCAAATTCGGTTCGAGAATGCATAAATTTATAAGGTAACTAATTAGTGGTGCATGTCACTTTTTTTACAGAGTATGTATAGGTGATGAAAAAGAAAATATTAAGAGACCCTCTTTATTATTGGAATTCCTAATGCATTTTTTGTAGTAGTGCATGTTACTTTTACTTTGTGTTTCACTAATAGTATATAATGATACATCATACATTTATTATAGAATGTTCGTTGCAATATAGGAGTAACTCTTACTCCGTATAAAGCAAACTTTGACGAAGCAAAGCATCTGCCATTTGGAAATGCATTGCTTGAGTGAAATTTAGGGTGAAAGAAGTAGTATGGCAACTTTTAAAAAAGTAAAGTCTTTCTTTTTTTTTTTTTTTTTTTTTTTTTTTTTTTTTTAAATGTGTAAAAAAAGAAATTCTTGAAGTCTTCTAAAGTTCCAACTAACAAAGTCATCCAGTACGTGTGGAATTAAGTTACTTTAAAGAAAAATAAATAAAATCTAATTCTCCTCGATTAAAGTTGAATCTTAAGGTTGTTTTCCATGTTCAAATCAAAATTTGATGTTTTGGTCAAAAAGTATGTTCTAATGTTATAATTTTGGCTTTTAATGAAAGATTAAGCTTAATGTCTATGGTTATTATGGCCTAATGGGTTGCCATTGTAAAATGGTTACATCCTCAAAGTCAGTCACCTAAGAATATGTCTTAATTTGATGTGATTTTAGTCTTTTACCGCAGCTCATCATGCCAGATTGCCCGGGTGCTTAGTAGTAAGCTGTCAATTCGGGTAAACTGGTTCGGGTAAACGGGTCGGGTAAGTGTGGGTCGGGTCAATTCGGGTTAATGTAGTAATCTACGTGGGTCGGGTTCGGGTTGGGTCATGCTTGAGTCGGCTCACATCGGGTCATACATCTTATCAGGTTTAGGTTGGGTCAATAACAAGTCAGATTACATTCGGATCGGATAAATAATAGATCGGGTTTTCACGGGTTAAAATGAGTTAGGGTCATTCTCAGGTTCAAGTCGAGCTCTGTTCAAGTTAATAATTTGCGGTTTATAATCAAGTCGGGTCATTCTCGGGTCCGAGTTAGGTTCGGTTCAAGTCAATAATTTACGGGTTATAATCAAGTCGGATCATTTTTAAGTTGGGTCATTCTCGGGTTCAAGTCGGATTCAATTCAAGTCAATAATTTCCGAGTTACAATCAGGTCGGGTCATTTCCAAGTCGGGTCATGTTCGGGTTCGGGTCTCAAATATTGGGTTATGGATTTCGGCTTGATTTCAGGTCGGGTCATATCGAGTTCGGGTACATTTTTTGGGTCGATTTGTTAACATTACATGTACTAAAATTTACATTTAATCATTATCAATTTCTTTTTTTATAAGTTCATATTAAAATTATCTTTGAAATTATCTAAACTTGCTTATTTTTTATAAGTTCATCTCCGAGTTAACATTTTTTTTAATGGCATTATTTTTTTTTTTTCGAAACATTTGAATGACATTATTTAAAACGTTTAAATAAGATTAAATAGGCAATGAATAATAAAATTAGAAAAAATAATAAAATTAGAGAAAAAAAACTCGTTTGTACAAGCACACAACTGCACAAGTGACAACGTAACTATATAACTATACTTTGATCAATATTAAATATGTAGTCTAAATTGAATTTAAGCTGATTTGAAATCGGATCAGGTCAATAACAGGTTAGGTTGAGTTCGAAATGGGTCAGGAACTATTCGGGTTGAATTTGGGTTGGGTCAATAACAAGTCGTGTTGATTTCGGGTCGGGATAGTAACAGATCGGGTTGAACTTCGGGTCGGGTTAGTAATAGGTCGGGTAAAATTTGGGTCGAGGTAGTAACATGTTGGGTTAAATTCGGGTCGGTTTAGTAATAGGTCGGGTTAAATTCGGGTTGTAACGGGTTAAAACGGGTTTGGGTCAATCTCGATTCAAGTCAGGTTCGGTTCAGGTCAATAATTTACGGGTTATATTCAGATCGGGTCATCTCCAAGTCGGTTCATGTTCGAGTTTAGGTCTCAAATACTCGGATTAACTCGGGTCTAGGGTTGGTTTCAGGTCGGATCATATCAAGTTTGGGTCACCATTTTTCCGAGTTTAAACGAGTCGGTTAATAATGGGATTCGGGTCGGTTTTTCGGATCGGATCAACTTTTGACAGCTCTATGACTATGCATTACTGACCTTTGTTGGCCTAGTACTCCCTCCGATCCACAAAGTATCTAGTTGTGAAATACAATTGGAAACTAGAAATCTTTTCCGGTTTGAAGAGTTAATGTACAAATACAGGTTTAGTTTACTCTTCGAGAGAGCTTCCTATGTCTCGAAACTACAGCCTTCTATTGAGAGCTTGGCTGTCCATAACGTAATTATTTTTCCAAATAAATCTTGTAAAAAAAGTATCTTTTAGACATGTGGTAATCACTATTCAGAGAATTGTTTTGACTAGCTTTACAAGGATTGAATTTTGCCCTATTTTTTAAATTCTTAGCAAGTACTTTACAAAGCACTAGTGATTTCTGAAGTGTGGTAAGCAGTATTCAGCTAATTTACCCAATACCCTAGCCATAGATAGCATACAATTAACACAGCATAAAGTGAGAGAATTATATGCATCTCATCATGCAGATAGATATGAGCTTTGCCCTCTAGCATACCTGTATGGGTTGCTGCATCTGCTTAGGCTGCAGAACCAAATTTGAATGTCTGAACTTGCTATGCTGTCAATCCATGCTGCTTCAGAGAATTGGGTTAGCCATATTAACCAGATGATCTAACCCATGGAGATCAAGCAGTCTTCAAATATGAGTAGCTTGTGCTTTCCTCCTGTTTGTTTCAACATGTACTGGCAAACAGGTCATATACATCGATTGGTGAACAGTTGAGCACGGAATCTGACAAAGAAAAATAATTATCAGATCGGAATAAAGGGAAAAATGAGACAACAGTGGGGAGGGACTTCAGCCTTAAGGGCCCATACAACAAAATTATTTCCACACAAAATGCAATGATAATGGGATTCAACCCACAAACTCATGGTTTGAGATAATAGTACCAAATGACCTCCCCACTGATACTCCATAGGCTTGTAAACAGTCTTATAACACAGATTTTCCTTACTCCAAAATTATTTAGTAATACTCGAATGCACTTACGCTCAAAGCATCAAGTAGCAGTTACCTCAAGTACAGAGAATGTAATTCTCGGAAGCAAACAGGTTGATACAGCATTAGTTTCCAGCTTCCATATAGCCTCTGCATTCCAAAACTGGGTCAACAGTACTCCAAAACAGGTCTATTTATTATAAGTAATTAGGTATTCTATACTCAAATATTATTTTTTTTACTCTTAATAATTTCATATGACAATGCAACTTGAAAGAGAAATAAATTAAAATCAGTAAATGTCCCTTATCAAATAGCAATTGACCTTTTTCTTTTAAGAAGATACCATAAGTTCTGAAGTTAAACCATATTAGTATCCATCCAGCTGAACAAAGGAAGAAAATTAAGCAGTGTACAATGCTATAAGTGGTTGAGAATCGGAAGCAACTTTAAGGGTCCAAATCATGGCAACCAGGTCCAACACAGCCAATATATTCATCAAACTGGAAAGAAAATTCTAGAAGGGAATTCATGCACAAATGGCATTGTTGATATTTACCTATTTGAACATCTTCAACCAACCAACAATGAGATCCTTTCATGATAGCTAATGTCATGGTAGCTTCTCCAAGGAAAAAAAGTCAACCAATAAAAGACCTTCATACAAGGAAACGGCAGTGAATTATGGTTGCTGAATTTTGAAGATACAAGCAAGACAACCACAGCTAAAGGAGATATAATTAGATAACGAATGTTAGCATTACCCCCATCTTCATGATATAGTTTTTTGTGTTCCAGGAGCATATGAAGGAAATTGTGCATAGGTTCCGAGTGCAATCATCAAATGACAATATCAAATGCTCAGGAATGTTCTGCTGGAAGACACTTCAGAAGCCTTCATGGAAGAATTTTCCTCAATAGCTTTTTGTCTCGAACACCATCATATAGGAGTTCATATGTATAATAAGTTATATAGCTCTTCTTTAGCAAGTCCTCCACAATAATCTTTGGTGCTGCTATCTCCCTTTTCGTAGAGCTGAAAATACCCTCCACAATATCTGGAACAATACCTTCATGCACCATAATGTGGATAATTTTAACAGCTTCATGGATCTTTTGTTTCAAGCAAAGACAATTGAGTACCCTTCCACATATTGTGAGTGATGGCGTAAATCCCTTCTCAATCTTCTTCAGGAAGAATTTGTAGCCAGCATCGTCATTACCCGCGTTGCAGAACCCATCTACTAATGCACGATAAGTATAACTGTCTGGAGGGCAGCCCTTCTCAATCATCTCATGAAAAAGCCTCTGAGCCATGTCCATATTCAGTCTTTCACCAAATGCATTGATCACAATGTTGTATGTTGCTGTCGTATGTGAAAGTCCATATTGTTGGTAAATCTTTCTGAAAAGCTGGTATGCTCCATCCAAATCACCCTTCTTGCAATAACCATTTATCAATGTGCCAAGAACTACAAGATCTGGAGTCAGACCCGTGCACCTCATTTCCGACAGCAACGCTAAGGCTTTATCTAGCTTATGAGCCTTGCAGAAGCTGTCAATAAGAATATTGTATGTAATACGGTTAGGAATGCACCCTTTTTCCACCATTGTTTCAAAAGTTCCCATTACAGCTTCAAATTTTGCAGCCTTGCAAAGCCCGTCCAACAGAGTATTGTATGTAATCACATCTGGAGTAACACCATGATCCCACATTTTATCCACAAGTTCAATCGCCGTATCCAACTTCAACTGTTTGCAGTACCCATCAATTAGAGTATTAAAAGTGAAAATGTCAGGTAAACATCCTCTTGCAATAGCATCATCTACCAGGTTATTCGCATCAGACAAGCAACCCATTTTGCATAGTCCATTTATCACTGTATTATACGTCCATATATTGGGGGAGCAACCAGCTCTAGCCATATCATTTATCATCTGTAATGCTTCAAGAATCAGACCCTGCTGAGATAGGCCTTTGATCAATGTGTTGTACACAATAACTTTTGCCTTCAATCCCTTCGTCTCGGCCTCATTGAATATGACCATGGCTCTCTCAACATCACCATTCTTACATAAGCCATCAATTAAAGAGCAATACGTGTATTCATCGGGTGTAAATCCTCTGTATTTTGCATTACGGAGTACCATCTCTGCATTTTGTACCATGTCTAGTTTGCAGTAAGCATCAATGATGGAGTTGTATGTGAAAGAATCTGGATCAAACCCTTTATTAATCATTTGATGAAGATAGCGTTCAGCATCAACAGCCCCCGTATTTTTACAAAGTCCACGTATCAGTAAGTTGTATGTCACTACATCTGGAGTAAAACCCTCAGTCATGATGCTATCCAGTAAACCAGCAGCTTCACTGACTGAATTATCCTCACAAAAGCCTTCAATAAATATATTGAAAGTAAACAAATTTGGTGAAGTCCCCCGCTTGAAAACCTTACTTAAAAGCCTTTGACTTTCTTGGACATCACCCTTCCTGCAGAGGACATGTATCAGCTTGTTAAATGTAAAAATATCAGGGCAAATTCCAAGGCTAAGCATCTGACAGAACAACTTCGATGCTTCAACTCCATATTCTTGTTCATAAAGACCACCAATGAGGGTACAATATGCAACTGCATTGGCGTCGCACCCATGAGAAGGCATGTTCTTAAGAAGCCTCAAAGCAGCATTAAACTTCTCAGTCCTACAAAAATACTTAATCCTGATAGTATAGGTGTATACATCAGGACAAATCCCTTTATCTCTTAACCTCAAATAAACTTTATGAGCTTGATTGAAGTAACCATGCTCAACCAAGATATTCATGATGGCATTATACGACATTACTGACGGTTCACATTCGTAAAAATCCATCTTCTCAAACACATCAACAGCCTGTTGAAGTTTCCCTTTCTTTCCATAATTCTTCATGGCCCCAATGTACACTCCTTCCACAATCCTATTATCAATATCCATTCTCATATCCGAAAGGAAAGCCTCCATAGCTTCAAATTTCCCATGTGAACCAAGCTTATCTATCATACATTTATATGTCAGCAAATTATGCTTGAACCCCTCCTCTTTTTTAACTGATTTAAACGTTTCGAGCGCCTTCAAAGGATCTTTCTGATGTTTTATAACAGCTGCTACATGTTTTGTTAGTAAGGGTCTACTCATTACAAAGAAAATCTCCCAAATCCCAAATTTTCAAGCTACACCCTTTTTAATAATTCAAAACCAATACCATGAAACTGAGTAAAACAGAACCACTGTCATTTCATCGAACAGGTGGTGGGCATAATTCCAAATAAGAAAAAAGCAACAGAAATCTAAATTAGCAATACCCAGAAGTTATTTCTTCTTGATTAGACATTAAATTGAACGCATATAAATTGATTTTCGTAAAATATGGAGTTTTCGAGTTTAAAATTGATAAACAGGCAGGTGAAAATTCAAAATTGAATCAGAAAATTAGAATGTACCTGGAATTAAAGTAGTGAGATTTATACCAATAAAAGAAAGTGGGTAATCGAATGAATGAAGGGAGATGAACTGAAATTAAATTGCTAAAAGGTGGAAATAGATGCTCACTGCCGAGAGTGAGGCAGAGGCTAGAGAAAGCTTAGAAAAGGGAAACACAAAGTCACAAAGTATACAACGGCAGAACTTGCGATTATATTGTATTTAAAACTGTTCAGTCCCAACCCGAACACAAAAAGTTTAAATTCAAGAGTTCGGACTTGTAGTTAAAAGGATTTATTTTCTATATTTGGGAATTCCCCCGGGCAGGAAAACAAAGTGATCAAGATTTGACAATACAAATTGAGTCATACATTTAAGTAACTTGATATCTTTAATTTTTTGGGGAGTAGCCAGCCCATTTCCCACTGTCGAGATAAACTATTCTTAGATAGAGGAATCAAACACAACTAATTACCCATCCCCCAACGCACAGATCATCCATACATTGTTCCCATCGTAATTCCCACTGTCGACAATACTTCATCAATGAACTTCACTAGTACCTTTAATGGAGAAATCAATAGAGGAGAGAAAGCTCACAAGCAAGCAACTAACACCTATCCTTTTGGTGTTAACCATTCGTTTTATTTTTATATAAATTTTTTTTACTCTAATTTCTCCATTGAAGAGGCTTTTGAGTTATGTATCCTTCACTAAAAGTGTACTTTGATCTCACTATAGCAGCTGCCTGTGCGCTTTCTCCATTAAGATTAACGATGACCATGGAAGGGGAGGAAAGAGAAAGAAAACAAGAATAAGTTCTCCAATTCTTGCGATGCCCTAATTGGGTGGAAGATAACATCATCCAATGACGTTACTTTTGAGGGTACCTCCGGTTACAAGCTTACCCGACACATTATAATTTTTATTTATGGAGAATTAAAGTTATTGATCGTCAAAGTTTTGCATTTTATATTAGCAATTGTGATAAAAGAAATAGGTCAAGTAAAAAAGAACAAAAGAAGTATACAAATACCCTTCACTATATATCAGAAATGACGTCTTTACCCCTTAATTTCAAGGGTTTATCAAAGTGATTACTCCCTCCGTTTTGTATTAATCGCAATAATAGGGTGTTCACAAAGTTTAAGAAAATTTTAGGGAGGAGTCTAAAAAAGGATTTTATATAATATAAAGTATTGTTACTGGAAGAGATAAATAATAAAAAAAAAAAAAAAAGTAGTGTAAGTGGGGTTGGTAAGAAAGAGAAATAATAAAATATTTGTAAAAGTGGAGTTAGTAGGAGAGTTTATAAAACAATGATGACTCCTTTTCCAAATATAGAAACTGTTCTGATTAATACGAAACGAATGAAAAAGGAAACTGTTGCGATTAATACGAAACGAATGAAAAAGAAAACTGTTGCGATTAATATGAAACGAATGAAAAAGAAAACTGTTGCGATTAATACGAAAGGGAGGGAGTAACTAGGGGTGTACAAAAACTGGACCGGACCTGAAACCGGACCTGAACCGACCTGATCCGGACCGGACCTGACCCGGACCTGTTGATTCAGGTCCGGTCCCGGTCCTTAAAAATCAAGGTTCCCGGTTCCGGTCCGGACCCGGTCTAAACCCGGGGTTTTCAGGTCCGGACCTGAAACCCGGAAAAATTGTTTTTTTTTTTAAAAAAAAAAAAAAAAAAAAAAAAAAAAAAAAATTAAAATAATGCTGCTGCTTGACAGCTTGAGGCCTTGAGTGACGCTTGAATTCTCTTTCATTTCATTCTAACCCTAACAAACAGGCTGTCTCCCCCTCTCCCTCACGCAGACACGCAGTCACGCAAGTCTCAGCCGAGTCAGCCCAACGCGGCAACGCCCACCGCCGACACCTCCTGCCTTCCTCACTCTCTCAGGCGAAGCCCAGGCGCCCACCGACCACCGCATGAGACAGCTACTGCGCGATTTTCCATTTCTCCGGTAAGTTATTTTTTTTTTTAATGTAAATCTAAATTATCTAATTATGTTTGGGTATTTTGTATTCGAAATAATGAATTAAGTGTTAGAATTTATATGTTTATTCATGTTTCAATTGCTTATAATGATTATTTGATGTTTGCATGTTGAATTTCTTTTTTTTACTTCAATGTTTTCGAATTTATGTTTTTTCTTTTTTGGTTTATTTTCGAATTTCTTTCGAATTTATGTTTTTTTTTTTGGTTTTTTTTAGTTTAAAGTTTAGGGTTTTAGGGTTTAATGTTTAGAATTGATAACAAGTATGGTTTATCTTCGAATTTATTTATTTTTATGTTTTGGTAATGGGATTGTAGCAGAGGACAATTAGTTTTTCATCATGATTGCATTGTTTATTTTTGTCAAGTACCTAAATTTCTTAGACTCCTTTTGGTTGGACTTTGAAATTAGAGAAAATGCAATTATTTTGATTTCAAAATTAGAAATTGAGAGAAAGGTAGAAATTAGCTTGGTTGATATATGATAAGTTGGAATGTGCCTCTGAAATTGACATAAACTTCAGCAAGTAACGTGTAACACAAAAGAGAAAAATAAAAAGGAAGAGAACAAACAATGAGATTATGAGAGCAATGAAATTTTCTGACTGCGACTAGCTAGAATTACCATTGGAACTGCTGGATAGAGTCTGAGAGTTTCTGTCAATGCAGCATGTAAATATTGCATTCTTTCAAGTGATTCTTCTGTCAAACTAGCAGCAAGTTCTGAAAATTTTCCAACTCCTTCCATTTTCGTAATTTTCCTTACTTCTTCAGCAACCTTTTCCTGTATATTCTGGTGTTTACAAAGCATGTAAACAAACCATGAAAGTGTAACTGCTGTTGTGTCTTTACCCGCAATTACAAAGCTCAAGATTATATCTCTCAGATACTTCAAATCAGTGTCGCTCTGCTCCAGGAACCTTGACAAGATATCATCCTTTTTCATCTGCATTTCCTACAAATTCACACAGAAAGAATGCATTAATCTCCTCAGTAAACCGATATGATTACAGACTTCTAAGTTATGATTCACTTACTGAGACATTGCTTTGTGAACTTTTCATTAGTTCCACTTTGTTACTGATTAATTTGTAAACAAAATCATCAACAGTTTTGACACTTCTCTTAAGTTTAGCCTCTGCGCCAATGTTGAGAAATTTCTTGATAGGCCAAAAGATGTCTACATATCGTAACATGGTTGAAGCACTAGCATCATCAAAAGCCTGGCCAAATTTCTTCCCTTCTTCATTTGAGCCACACATACTGTCTAGATCAACTCCAAATGCAACTTTGAAAATAGAATCTAACGTTGACTTCATAAACAAGTCCTATAGAAAGCCATTTCAAGTTAGTTCGTTACTCCAAAGTCTCCAAAAGTACATAGCTCATCTTATCAGTAAAACACTTTTGTCCAATACAACCAGTAAAACACCATCTTACCTGAATATCCATAATTTGGGTGGAGTGTCACGGAAGGCGGCTAGGGGTGGGGCTGCCAATGAAGCTGGTTGTGTACTTGTGTTGTGTTGTGTGGGCAGTGGTGGATCTGGGTATTGACATAAATTTCAGAAAGTTGGTTGTGTTGTGTTGTGTTGTGTTGTGTGGGCAATGCCTCTCTCATTTTTTTCTTAACATAAATTTCAGAAAGTTGAAAGTATTTCTAATGTGTATTGATATTTCTAATGTGTATATATGGACACTTTTTAAGCTAACTTATACTTTAAAATTTGTGTTTATTCCTGCTAGGCTGCTAAAAGTATGGACTCAGATTATTAAGATTAAATAAGTTGGCTAACCTGTGTGTAGTTCAGGGGTTCTTATTTTTGTTTTTATTCTTGCAGGGAGTGAAGGAAGTCAAGGAACCACGGATTCTTATTCTTGCAATGTAAGTTGCTCTTAAATTTTTTTTATAAAATGGTATGTGTATATAATTGTTACTTTAAAATTACTTATATTGTATATAATTATATTGTAGATGGAGAGCTCTCAATCCAAACGGTCTGCTTCTTTTTCTGAACAAACGTCACAGCCACTTTCTGAAAAGGATATGGAAGAATTGCAATCTACTTTGCCTCCTGATAAGAAGCTAAAAGCGGGGCGGGAATATATATGGAACAGAAAAAGTAAGAGGAAAGCTGAGTATTGGAAATATTACTTAGAGTACGTCGAGAATGGAAAACTACGAGCTGAATGTAAGTTCTGTCCTAAAACTTTTGCTGCTGATGGTAATCTTAATGGTTCAAAAAATGTTAAAAACCATGCAGAATCATGTCTCGGTAATCCTATTAATATAGAAAAAGAAAAGGGCAAAGAAAAGCAAACTAAATTGTATTTTGATCAAGAACATGAGAGTAGTGAATTAAAGTGTGGGAGTAGGATTATTAACTTGAATGATGTTAGAGAGGCATTGATTCACATGATTATTGTTGATGAGTTACCATTTAAGCATGTGGAAAAATCCGGTTTTAGGCACTTTGTGCAAGTTGCATGTCCACAATTTCACATTCCATCTCGTGTTACCATTGCTCGTGATTGTTTAAAGTTGTATTATAGTGAAAAAGAGAAATTGAGAGAAATGTTTAAGACATGTCAAAGAATTTCTGTGACCACTGATACTTGGACTTCAATACAAATAATTAATTATATGTGTCTTACAGCTCATTTCATTGATAATGACTGGAAATTGAATAAAAAGATCATAAATTTTTGTCCAATTTCTAGTCATAAAGGAGAGGCTATTGGAAAAGCAGTTGAGGCATGTTTAGAGTATTGGGGTATTGATGATAAACTTTTTACTGTCACTGTTGATAATGCTTCTTCAAATGATGTTGCTTGTGCACACTTGAGTAGAATGGTTAGAAGAACAGGATGTATAAATGATGGAAAAAATCTCCATGTTAGATGCATTGCTCATATCATTAATTTAATTGTGTGGGATGGTATTAGAGAACATGGTGTGTGCATTGATAGAGTTAGAAATGCTGTGAAATATGTTAAGAATTCCCCTGCAAGAATACTTAGATTCAAAGATCTTGTGCAAAAAGCAAACATAGATTCAAAATCTTCTTTATCCTTTGATGTCCCCACTCGTTGGAACTCCACATACATAATGTTGGAAACGGCTTTGAAGTTTCGACGTGTTTTTAGTGGGTTATCTCTTCCTGATGGAGAGGATTTGAATGACAATGAAAGGCCTCCCGAACCCGAAGATTGGGAAAAAGTGGAGAGGTTGGTTTTGTTTCTAGGGGGGTTTTATCTGTTAACTAAACGAATTTCTGGTTCCCATTATGTGACAGCTAATAAAGGTTTAGGAGAAATTGCTTCTATGTATGATATGTTGAATAATTGGGAACAAAGTGAGGACTTGAATTTTCAAGCCATGGCCATTGCAATGAAAAAAAAGTTTGATAAGTATTGGGGGGATGTGGATAAGATGAATAAGTTCATTTATGTTGCTCTTCTTCTCGACCCTCACTCTAAGATGGTCATTGTTGAATTGACACTAACGGATATGCATGGACCGGAAAAGGGTACAAAACTTGCTAATGATGTGAAGGAGTTCGCTTACTCTTTATTTGAGGAATATAGAAAAATGTATGCTACTTCTAATATTCCAGATTGTGGAGATAATATGTCAATGGATATTGATAATAGTAAAGGAGTGGGTTCCGATTATGTGAGGAAACTAAAAGAAAGAGCAAAACGATTGAAGGGGACAAGTGGGTATGCGATAAGTGAGTTGGATAGGTACTTAAATGATCAATTAGGGCCGGAGGAGGAAGAACAAGATGCATTGACATGGTGGGGTAAGAATGGTCAGCGTTATGTGATTCTTAATCGCATGGCACGTGACATACTAGCCATCCCATTGTCGACCGTTGCATCGGAATCTGCTTTTAGTACGGGAGGTCGTACTCTAGATCCATTTCGGAGTTCTTTAACTCCTAAGGTAATGCATCGTTATCTTTTTATTTTATAAAATCAAGTTTGTTTATATCTTAATATGACTTTGTTTATACATATTTGTGTAATATTTTTGTATTGAAGATGGTTCAAGCGTTACTTTGCACACAAGATTGGCTTAGAGCTAAGGAAGTGCCAATTGTTGATGTGGAAGAAAATTTGAAAGAGTTAGAGGAAATAGAGAAAGGTAGTAATAATTTTATGTATTTGAAATTTTGTTACACCAAATTTATTATTTCATTGTTATCAATCATTAATATATTCTATATTGTATTTTATTTAGAGGTGCAACGTGGTGAATCTAACGATGTAGACGATGAAGTTGTTTTCGTGGACTCATTAGTGTGAATCACGCGATCAAAGGGAAAACAACTCGTTGGAGAATTTATGTATTCCTAGTACTTGAGAGTTGAGAGTTGAGACTTAAGAGAATTTATGTAATTTTATGAGTTTTCGTGGACTTATTTGTATTTTCGGTGGACTCATTTGTATTTTTGGTGTTTGAGAATCGGGACTTTATAGACTTTATGTAGTTTTGTAATTGATAATTTTGGTTTGTATGTAATTATTAAATTATGCAACAGGTCTAAAAATCACAAAACAGGTCCATATGCAGGTCCATATGCAGGTCCAACAGGTTTTGTATTAAAAAAAAAAAAAAAAACGAAAAAGACACAAAACAGGTCCATTCAGGTCCAAACCCGGACCGGACCTGATTTTTCAGGTCTGGCCCGGAACCGGACCTGTTAATTCAGGTCCGGTCCCCGGTCCTCATAATTACCCAATTCAGGTCCCCGGTCCAAACAGGTCCGGTCCAGGTCCGGTCCGGTTTTGGACCGGTGTACACCCCTAGGAGTAACAATTAACATAGCAATTTTATTTTTAAAACAAACCAGCACAATCTCTCCGCACAGGCACAGGCACAGGCACAGGCACAGGCACAGGCACAACCGCACAAGCACAAAAACAAAACCGCTAATCAACAACAAAACCAGGCTTCGCCACCGCCGTCGCCGCCTCTGTAGTTGAAGAATGGAGTCGCCGGGGCAATGGCTAGAGAAGGAATTGAATGAATTGTGCAAAAAAGTAGACACTGCTTTTGACTTTGATTCTGATATGATTTCCGGCCTCGTTTCTTACTGTGAATTTGCTCCTCCGCTCGACGCCAAAGAATACCTTGATGTAATTCCATCTTCCATTTCTTCCATTTTTATCACTACTCTTTTCCCTCTATAATTTTATGTAATTTTGGGGAAATTAACAATTTGTTCGTTTGCATTGTTTTTTATACTGGGGTGATTCTGTAATTGTACAATTGAATTCTTGTATGATTTCTTATTGTTTTTATGCTATGATTTTATCTTGATTTCTTGTAAAAACCTAATCTTGTCAATCAAAAAGCTAGGATGGGGTCGTCAATGGATCTTTTGTTGATTGTGAACATGGTTTGATTAAGATAGGTTAAGATAATAGAAATAATCTGCAAATTTCATCAGAAATATGGAGAAGGGTGTTTAAAGTATTATGTCAAAAGACCGGGAAATGTTGTTTGTATTGCTTCAGTATGTCTGCATAGTTCATCGGAAATTGATATATTCTCTTGTTTTTGAATTGAGGAAAAGAATGCATTGGAACATATGAACTGAATTCCAGATTGTGTGTTTTTATTACTTGTTGCCTTGTTGGTGTAGGCTTGAATTTCTATGAGCAATGAGAGGACACCATTAATGGTCTGGAATGGTAAAATTATCAGAGTTTGGGGGTTTAGATTGTCAGTCATTTTTTTGGTTTAGCCATATTCTTCTTTGTCTTAGAATGCATTGGAACATATGAACTGAATTCGACTCTCAAATCCCTTGTCTTAACTCATGAAATTGAATGATCACCAAAAATAGATTGATGGGAATGCAATCCTTTGAAGCATTGGACATTTACTGATATAAGTTGTAGATACAATGTAGGTTTGTTTGTTTTTTTTTTTTTTTTTTCCCCCAAATATATAAGCTATCAGATGTCGGGAAAGCTCATGGAAGCAATTGTGTAGAGAGCTCTGGATTTTTTGATAAAATGGAGAATGAATTATTATTCTTAATTTGTTGATTACTAAGAATTTCTAATGTTGAAAGAAATAGATTGGTTGTAGCAAATGCTTAAGCTTCTGGCTTAATTTTTTTTTTCTTTTATGATGTCGTCAGAACATCGTTGGTGAGGAAGCAGGCAAAACTGTCATACAAGAATACTTAAGACGAAGGGGCTACTCACCATCACCTGAAGCAGTTGGTGCTCCTGCTTCCAAATTACAGGCATATGTCAAGCCAAGTGCTGATGAAGGCTTGACCAGTGGAGCCAAGAAACCATCCAGGGCACAGAAAGAGGCTTCAGCTTCTAATAACCAAAATAGTAAGGTAAAAATAGAGGCTGCAGAGTCGGGAAACAGGCAACAAAATAATTCTAGAAAGAAAAAGGGTGGGAAGGTTATATCACTTGCAGAAGCTGCCAAGGGATCTATCGTATATCAGCAAGGCAAACCATGCTCTTGCCAGGCACGTCGACATAAATTGGTGAGCAACTGCTTATCTTGCGGTAAAATAGTATGTGAACAGGAAGGGGAAGGGCCTTGTAATTTTTGTGGGGCTCTAGTCCTGAAGGAAGGAAGTACATATGCTGGTTTGGAGGTGTCTGCAGTACCTGAAACGGAAGCTGAGGTAGCTGCAAATGCTTATGCGAAGAGGCTTGTTGATTTTGATCGGAATGCAGCTGCACGCACAAGTGTTATTGATGACCAAAGTGACTACTATGATGAGGGTAACAGCTGGTTGTCCATGGAGGTATATGACCAAATTCTACAGATACTTTTATATCCTCCCTCTTCATTCTACATGAATATGAATGCAGATTTTCATTGGATAATATATCCTTTTGCAGGAAAAGGAACTTTTAAGGAAGAAGCAAGAGGAGATTAAAGCTGACGAGGAGGCAAAACGAAAGAGAGTAGTTGTGGCTTTTGACTTGGTCGGCCGTAGGGTAAGTTGATCTCCCTTTAAATATATGATGAAATTTGGTTGATTTCTGCTGGCTTGTGTTCTCAAGCTTATGGGACAGATGGACATTTACCTAGCTACCCCTTTGGTTCCTTTCAATTCTGAGCTCAGGATTTCTTATTCTTGTAGTGTAAATGATCTGGGATAATGGAATCGGTATTGGGTCAAATTTTGGTTTCTTTGACAAGAATTAGTTGGATCTCTATTTGGTCATAGAAGCTTTACTTTATGTGCCATCTCTTGAAGTAAGCATAAGATAATTGGTTTCAAATGACCTTTTCATTGACTTGTATTATGTGTTTGCTTAGGTATTGTTGAACCAAGATGACGCTTCAGAACCTGAATCTGGACTCAACATTTTAAGGCCACCTGATCAGAGAGAAGCAAGCCGAGTCAAACCAAATCCCACCCTTCAGGTGCAACCAGTTTTCATTGATCCCGGCCCTAGGGAAAAGCCTCTCAAGGCCAAGCACTCTAGCAAAGGTCTTAACAAGGGACTGTGTTTGGAGATTAGTGGAAGGGTGCAACATGATCGCAGTGATTTCAAGCATTTTGTGGAGGAGCCTCTTGGATCTTCTTCAGCAAATGATTATTTGCAAGGGCAATCTTGGAATGGTGTCACACACTTGGAAGATGATGCTGAATGCTCTGCATACTAGGATTACATAGTGAGGTTTAGGCCCCTAACTATACTGTGGTATGAGCTCATTCTGCTTTGAATACTTGTTTATCAATACAAGTGTATATTCTGTTGTCCTGGCAAATTTCTCCAGAATTTTACGACTTGTGCATAGCTTAGTGTGCACTAAGTTAATGTATCCAATCATGTATGAAATAGATTGCCAGGCCATTACTCAAAGTCTTGCTGTCATACCAATCTGTAGCTGTCATATTACCTGTATGGCTGTGTGTGAAGGCTTTTGCATTTCTCAGGTTTTGGTTTTGTTTTGCATCTTACATTAATTACCAGTCCTTGCATTCACTAGGAAAATTATAGTTCAGATGTTCGTATGATTGGTCTGCAGTTAGTGAAGAACAGTATTTTACTTCCCCACAGTTGAAAATTTATTTTTAGACGAGTATTACTGTTGTTAATCATCTTTAATTTGCCATTCCACATAGGCCATCTTTTTTATCTTTCCTCAATTCGAAAATTTCTTTTCAAATTCAGTACCATAATATTTTAATGTTAATTTTTTAGCTGTCCTGCTGACATGTATAAGAGATTGTGTAGCTCTTGTAGAATCAGGTTAAATATTAAGGGGGAGGGTGTGTTATACCAGTAGTTCTTCTGAGATACCGTGTTTTTTTCTTCAGTAATAAGCAGGGCCTACTACTGAATTCCATTTTCAGGATAGCCGATTGGATTGCAAGCCCTAGGGGTAGGCATTCGACACCTTTTTTTTTTTTTTTTGAAAACTTGTGCTGAGTGACTCTTGTCTTTCAAAGAATATTCCAAGGTCGACAAGTACTTTGGGCCTCCCAAAGTCCCATGTGTTGCCACACTTAGCCTTGGACTGTCCTTGGTGAAGGGATGCAAGGTAGAACTTGTAGGTAGTAAGTTGTCTTAGGGATTTGGGCATTTAGCAACCGAGAATGGTTGCAGAAGAGCATGATGGAACATGCAAATCTCAATATTGTGTTACAGAGTAGTCCAAGGATAAGGAATAGTGTTAGAAACTTTACATACACAGGTTTGTGGTATGATATTATCTTGCATTTCATGACCTAAGTTAATTTGTTATGTTAATTTCATAATTGACATGATATCTAAGTATGATTGTTATATAATATGATACGGGGAAGAATTGTATGCCAACCTTTACAGTTTGTAGTAGATGCCATAAGATTTTAGTAACCATTGATCATTATCATCTTGTGATTACAATAACACTCTCATCCAATAGAATTGGGTAGTACAAGTACTAGTTGATGTACTACATCTCTTTGGGGTAGTACCATTAATTTTTTAACTTTGATTCCAACTACGTAGTACTAAATTTCTAATTTTAGGAATATGTCCCATGTTCTACCTATCATCAGCTGCTTTGTTTTATAATACTCTTGCTACTTGGTTACTATTCGTCATTGATGTGATACTCAACTTTGTCTATGAAAGTCGTCTATTTATATGTGTGGCTGGTGGTATGAGAGTTTTTGCTAGCATATACCAAGTCAACTCGAGCATCTTCTTTTTGTGGAGGTCAAATTTGTAGCTCTTAAATTCCCTAACTATAGCCAGTGTGCTTTGTGCTTATTGTTATGGATCTTTAGCTTGTTTCAGGCAGCTCCATTACAATAAGCACAATGCACGTTGGCTTTTCCGTTGGGTTTGTCGCGAGTTCTGTGATATTGAAGAAGGCTAGGAAGGATTAAAGACGTGCTTAATGTTTTAAGGGTTGGTGATCAAGGTATGTAACTACGTATTGTATCTAGTGCTAGACTGTGTTAGTTGATTGTTGCATGATCGCTAGAATCAAATTACTAAGTTTAAGGTTTGAGGTATATATATGCTTCTCATCTGCCTAAAATTCAAGTAAATTGGTTTTATTCTATGCTTATTTGATTGATATTGAAGTTTTTAGAAAAATTCATTCTAATTTGGATGCTCTGTTATGCTTCTGTTCTTAATCAATTAGTAGGCATACATTAAATTTCTTTACATGAGAAAATGATACTAGTAATTTGATTTGTATTTTAAAAAACAGATGTGAAAGTATAATTATGCTAATTTCACATTATGTGTACAAAATATCAATTTTTTTGTACGATTAATGATGTCAAGATTTAAATGGTCAAGTATGTCATAGAAAAGTGTCAAAAATTTTGTTAACAAATAAAATAAAGTTTGAGATCAAATCCGACTATAAGATCTGAACAAAAAATGCCGATGCGGTGATGCTATCTTGTAAGCTTTAGGCTGGACTGTCTTAGCTGTTCCTCTGAAGGCCTGTGACTGTTAGTTTATGAAATGCCTTGGGTCAGATGGGCCTTTAATGTATGATGATAATTGACTATGCCACACCTATCTCACCCTCAAAAATTGTCCGTTTATGGCTAGGAACCAACTTCACTCTTTGCAAAACATTGTGTGTCATCCTTGTTGCTTCCGGTGCCATCAGATTTGTAAACCATCATAGATCATCCTCGTCGTCTTCAATATCATCATGATCACCACACTTTTTTGTCTTATGAGGTCGCTCTTGCACAACCAAAACCGAGAACTCAAATTCCGGAGAAACTAACATATCTCCAAAAATTCCTAACTCTGGATACTCACACCATCGGTCCAAAAGCCCGAATAAGGGAGTACAGCCAGGCTCGTGGTATCTTCCTACTACCGCTAAATCTATCTCATCTTTCATGCTTACAACAATATCAGTAGTTTCTCCGCCATCGTTAACCGTTACCTCTACGAATGACACTCTGTTGTTATCTTTACACCGGCATTGGAAATCTTGGATAGCATTATAGTCATTAAAGGTGTTATGTTGAGGCTTTAGCGAATTTAACCTAATTACGCTAAGCCTAATGTTTGGATGATTTGTGAATATGGTGGTATATGCTAGAGCCTCTTGGTCATCTACCCCACCTATGAAGAAAATAGCAATGTGATACACATCGCTAAGATGTGCCAAATTTTGATCACCTCGATCAATTAGCAAGCCTATGGAACATGGCGCCTTTTCTAGAACCATCTTATTGACATCTCTTATGGGTTGAGATGCATGTTGGAAACCCATATCGTTAGTCCATTGTGTGTGGAAAGGTAGGATGAGTAGACTCACGTTTTGGCTATGTGCAATGCTGCATATATCATCGTGCATGGCCGTGTATGAAGACACTGAAATGTAGTGATGTGGGCGAATAGTGCCATTAGTTTTACGTTCAAGGTTCACCAAGGCATTTACTGTGCGGTTGCAACGAGAGAGGTTTGAGCGATACGCAGATGAGGATTGTATCTCGTGTAGGGGCGCTAGGATGGGGAGGGAGACGCGGCCAGCAGTAAGTGGAATAAGTTGGAGGGCAATGACGGGTAAAGGCTTTTGTTGTGTAGAGTGGAAAGCTTGAAGAAGGCGTATAATTCCAGGTAGATTTTCTTCCTTGTATATGCATGATAATACTCGTAAAGTGCCCGTTTCAGCTGATGTAATTACACCTTGTCTTATAATTGTTGAATATTGTGTTGATGGTTCATATATGTATTTCACTAGGGGTAAGAAAGTTCCAGTGCAAAACAGAATATGTAACGCCAATGTTGTGTAGTGTTCTCCGCTCAATATCTGCAGTATTATGCATACATCATGTTAGGAATAATAAATCATGGCTTCGGTATTTATCACCTTTAAAAAATGTAGGAATAATAAGTTCAAAAGATATCAACTAAGAGACAATAAGTTCATATAAATTTAAATAAGTATACTGAAACTTAAACTTGCAACTTAAATAAGTCGTGATAAGTTTAAATAGGAAAAAAATAACGTTAGGTACGTTTAGGTAAGGAGTAATAGTGAAATTAAGAACGAAGTAAGAATCTCACCCCTTGTTCTTGAAATTGGCCGAGCATAACTATATCTAGCAAACCTCCAGAAGCCATGATGATTGAAAGGGAAATCGCGGTCCTGGCATGAACTCCGAAAAACATGGTGGGAACAAGAGTCCCCAAGAACTTACCACATACGCCCAATGTCATAATAATCTCTACTGTAAAAGAGTTTGAGCTGAGAGAATTGAAGTCTGCTTCAAATCCATGCATAGCACAAAAGATAGGGAAAAAAACACATGAAGTAATGGTGTCTAATTTGTCGGACAAAATTGAGGCTAGTGGTTCTTCTGGCAGGAAGAATCCAAACAAGAAAACTGCGAGAGGGTGATGAACTTGTAAGCTAAGGAAGGCTAATAAAAGAACAATCAAGAGGATAACCATGAAATGGCAATCTTTTACACGTTCGCCTTCGGGTGTATAGCTAACAATATGAATGATTAACGGCCTACAAACTGCAAACATAAAAATGTAGGTTCCAGAAACCATAACTGGGTGCCAAAAGTCGCCAGCAAGCACAGGACTTATAAGACTGTAAATCAGGAAAGTTAAGAACATTCCAAAGATATCAAGGACCAAAGAGGTTGCACAAGCCAAGCGACCGAGCTGCGAGTTGCTTATGCCAACTTCATTAACATGGTTGCATGTAACCATGAAGAAGGTTTGAGCATTGAGTAGAATCACCTTGATTATTCCTTCTAATCCATCAGCAAAGTTAAGCATTCTTACTCCAACATAACTTAACGCCAATGACGCGATTAAGCCAGAAAAACTTATGATGACAGTTTCCTTGTCTATTCTTTTCAATAATGCTCCTACATTAGTTTCCACTCCTAATATGAACGAATAAAATACGAAACCTAAATATGATAAGGTTTTTATTAAGTACTTGATCGTCGGATGGAGTAATGCCTGAAATTCAAGAATATTCTTGGAACATAGTAGTCCAATTACAAAAAATCCACCCTGTATGAACAAGAAAAAAAAAAACATAGTAAGGTAATAGTTTACCATAGTAATATGGGGGGAAAGGCGATACACGACTAGTCACAAACGATTACAAAACATGAAAGTATAGCAGGAGGATTTTTAGGAGCATAAAAGAGGTATATAAGATGTATTATGGGATAACACTCCCTTAATTTGTAATGTTTGCTATTATAAGTAAAGTTAGTGGATGATTGCATTGGATTTGATTGTAACACATAGGAAACTTAAGAAAGGGAATGTATGTAAAGTTTCAGATTGTAAAGGAAATTTAGTAACAACTTACAAACATCCTAGACAATACTGGCAAGCCAAGAGGTCTAAGCAAGAACGAAGTTGTTGAAATCGTAAGCAAGATTATAGCAAGTAGCAATATGCATATTGATGATTCTGAACCTTGAGGATAATAGGGGTTGGACCATACACTCGTAGTTCTTAATAAGAATGGCCATTCTTGGCACATCATCACGGTGTTGTTCCAAGTAGCCTGACTCCACATATGGAGTATTCCATTTGAGGTTGATGCCATGTTTATTAATTTGTAACTCAGTTTTGTTTTTTCACATCATAATATAAAGAAATTTTGAGCGAAAATATGCTTGAGATTAGAAGTGTATTGTAAAGATTTTAAAAGAATAAAAGTGAGGAAAGGGATAGGCTCAGCTCTTATAATTATGATGAAATGCATTGTGTATGAAGTTAGGATGAATAATTAGGTATAAGAAATAATTAATTTGTTCGTTTAAGCTTCCTAAAAAAAGAAATACCATGCTTGGAAATGGTTGTAATATTTGGCGTGCATGAATCTAAATTTAGATTAATGACATGCACCAACGATTTCTAAGGTTTTTCAGGCCAACAATATCTCTAAAATAAATGACTTAAAATTCTTTGCTGGCTTTGCTTGGTATTCTTAACTGAGTTAAATTTACTTAAACCATCAATAATTCGACACACACAATGCTTAAAAGTCACAACTGAGTAGACTAGTGAGACGCAATGCAAGCTGGAGATTACGATGAACATCAACTGATTCCAATAACCAAATGTCTCCTCATACAAACTTTGATGTGTAATTAGCACTACAATAATTAATCAATACATCCTTATTATTACACGTATATTCTTATACTACCTCCGTTACATATTAGTTGCAACTTTAGGATATTATTTGAGAGACATAAAATATTCCAAAGTTGCAACTAATATGTAACGGAGGTAATAGTTAACAAACCCGAACAATAGTGTTCCCAAGACGCTCAGAGTCTCAGACACGAGTGGTTTAAGGCTCGCTTCAAGCTATGATACAAAGTGAAGGTCAAGCTAAGAGAATAATTGAAACGACGGAAAATACTTTTATGTAGGGATGTCAATGTGAGTGCTTTTAGGAGGATGCATGGTTTGTACTTACTATATGGAGTTGCAAATTTGTCGCCAATGTTTGGGCTTAATCAAAGTGACATGACCTGATGGAAGGATTGCATTATTGGATAAGTGATGCGCGGGATGGGTCAACTTGTGTATTAAACACCTTCAATTCGATGAGATGGAGGAGGTGGCTGCTAGGTTGGTTGGTATGAAAAAACGCAACTCGATTCTATATGGGAGTTGTGCTCATCACCCAATCGTAATCGTTGCTAGTCCTTAATCTTTCCACAGGCAGGTGAGAAAGGAACCCTAGGTAACACATTTGTCAATTGCTCTTGGAAAATGAGTATGCTACCTTGCAAATGATTAAGAAGGTTGTTGATGATTAGGTGACTCGAATCTTGCAGCTTTCCTCGCCCGATCGGGCATGCTATGCCCTGGCAGACCGGGCAGAGAGGATATGTATGCAATGTATCTTGCAATCCCCACTACCCGATCGGGCATGCCATGCCCTGGCAGACAGGGCAGTGAGGGTAAGCAGTGCAAAATGGCTCGTATTGGATGTTACTTCGCGCGCCCGACCGAGCTGTCATGCTCGGTCTGACCGGGCAGAAGAGGAATACGATAGAGACGCGTTTTTTGCGGTTTTTTAGAGTTATCTTTTATTATCTTGAAGCCCGAGTATCTTTCAATTAGGGATTAATATAAAAACTTCCTGATATTAGTGCTAGGGTTACGAGAGACAGAGAGAGAGCCATTCTTGAGAAAGACTTGATTCATCTTTGTAATTCTTTGCGATTTATAGTGAAATACTTTGATCTCGATGCCCGTGGACGTAGCTATCACATTGATAGTGAACCACGTTAATTCTTGGTGTTGTTCTTATTGTTTGCATTGAATTTCTTTGTTGTTTTCTTTATTGTTTTCGATCTTTACTTCCGTTGTCGCACAACAAAGGCAAAAGATGGTGCTTGTGATGCGTCTTACCTAGAAGTTTTTATTAAAGAGATTTTATCGCTTGTTAATTGTTTAGCTGTTATGTCTACAAATGTTTTTTAGGGAGGCTAACAAAGTGGCACATATATGTGCACGGCCTGGGTGTGTCTTACTATTATTGAAGATGTAATTGCCACCGATTTTTGCTTATTAATTAGTCGTACATTAATGAAAGTTGTGTTCCCTTGTGAAAAATATAGACATGTTATGAAAAATATAGACATGTTGTGAACATAATATTGCAACAATAAAAGAACGAAACGAAGAACTATGTAGCTTCGTGCCAGCTTTAAAGCTTGATATAAGAACATGATGCACAAATTTTTCAAAGTTCAACATGGAAAAATTTAGTTACACTCAGTGTTAGTACATCATACATAAATAAACACAGTGCTATGTATGATGAAATCAAGCATAATGGAAAAAAAAATTAGTTACACTCAATGTTAGTACTTCATACATTTATCAGATTTTCTAAAATAAATAGAGTATTATGTATGATGAAATCAAGCATAATTATCACATTACAAAATCATCAATTAGATCATCATTTTCTGTTGTCTTATGAGGTTCCTCTTGCACGACTAAAACTGAGAAGTTAAACTCTGGTGTGACAAGCATGTCCCCCAAAATCCCCAACTCCGGGTACTCGCACCAACGATCTGTAAGGCCAAACAAGGGTGTACATCCAGGCTCATGATATCTACCTACGACGGCTAAATCGATTTCATTTTTAAAGGCAATAACAGCATTCGTTGTCTCTGCCCCATCACTGACGACTATCTCCTGTAATGACATTCTCTCATTGCCCTGCAGTTTATGGTGAAATTCCTGAATGACAGCATAGTCATCAAAACTGTGGGTGTTACTCTCTGACATTTTCGATTTCAACCATACGACGGTAAGCCTAATGCTAGGATGTCTAGCAAATAGTGTGGCATACGCGAGAGCCTCATGATCATCTGCCCCACCTATGAAGAATATAGCAACACGATACTCAACATCGAGTATGGTAACATCTTTATCCCCTCGATCGACTAGCAGGCCTGCAGAGTCCAAATTAAACAGGGGATTGGTAAGTTAAAGAACATAATAACTAAAATTTTCCTGGAGAAAAAATTCAATAATTGACTTCATGAGCCTGAAACATAGCTCCGCCCCTACCTGCAGAACACGGTGCCTTTTCGAAAACCATCTTGTTGACATCTCTTATAGCTTCAGAGAAGTGTTCCACTTCTCTATCTGCAGTCCATTGTACATGAAAAGGTAGAATAAGAAGGCTGGTTTTCTTTTCATGCGCAAGGCTGCATATATCGTTATGCATAGTAGCATATGCAGACACTGAAATGTAGTGCTGTAAACGAGCAGCACCATCAGTCCTGCGTTCGAGGCTCAACAACGAGCTAATTATACGATTGCAACGACCAATGTTGGATCTGAAAGCAGCTGAGGACTGAATTTCATGGAAGGGGGCAAGGATAGGTTGAGTGACACGGCCAGTGAGTTGAATGAGTTGGAGAGCAATGACTGGAAGAGGTGTTTCGTGTGTAGGATTGAAAGACTCGAGGAGACGGAGAATTCCTGGTAGATTCTCTTCCTTGTGAATGCATGCTAATACTTGCAAAGTTCCGGTTTCAGCGGATGCAATCACACCTTGTCTTAATATTGTCGAGTATTGTCTTGATGGGTTGTACATGAACCTCACAAGAGGCAGAAATGCACATGTACAGAACAAAATATGTATCCCGATTACGGTGTAGTGTTCTGGTTCCATTACCTGCAGTTTCAATGACACGCACCAATCGAGAAATGTTACAAATGTACACATGAAAATTTAATTAGTACATAGTACAGTAGCTAGATGTTATAAAATGCAACATTTTACGACTTTACTAGCTCATTTTGCCTGATTTTGAATTGATCGATTCTTAATATTTGATTTGTGCTAATTTACTCGTGTTTTTGTCACATACAATCAACCGATGAAAACAGAATTTTTACAAATCGAATCTGATTTATACTGAAATTGGATTTTTCGAGTTAAGTGAACATGGCCTAATTTGTTAGCATTATATCATGATGTGGATAATATAGAGAAGATAGCATGACTTACCCCGGAATGGCGAAATATGCCGAGCATTACAATATCAAGGAAACCGCCGGAACATAAGATGATACCAAGGGAAACGGCGCTCCAAAAAGGTACACCGAAAAGCCTTGAAGATATAACAGTTCCTAAGAACTTGCCACTGATACTCAAAAAGACAATGAACTCTATTATTAAAGATTTTTTGCCGAGGTGGTTAAAATCTGCTATAAATCCATGCATAGCACAAAAGACCGGCAAAAAGATACTAGAATTCATGAGATCTAATCGTTCGTTTAAAATCGAGGTAAGTGGCTCTTCTGGTAGGAACACCGCGAATAAGAAAACTAGAAGGGGCTGACCAACTAGCAAGCTAAGAATTGTTAGTACAAGAATAATCACGATGATGGCCAAGAAATGTGAGTCTTTCATACGACGTCCCTCAGGAGTGTAACTAATAATGACCAAGATTAACGGCCTACATATGAAGAACATAAAAAGATAGACCGCGATAACATAGAAAGGTAGCACAAAATTTCCATCTTTAAAAGGCAAGTAAACATTGAAAATGAGGAAAGTCGAGAACATTCCATAGACATCGATGACTAAAGATATTGCACAAGCTAAACGACCAATTTCCGAGTTGCTTATGCCAAGGTCGTTAACATGACTACAAGTAACCATGAAGAAGGTTTGAGCATTAAGGATCATCTGCCTTAAATAACCGGCTTCATCTTCCTTTATATTTAGGGCTTTTAATCCGGAATAACCAAGTGCTAATGATGTAAAATAGCCTGAAAAACATATGATAATAGCCTTCTTTCTTACTTTTTTAATTAATGCTAACAAATTAAGTTCCACACCAAATATGAATGTATAAAATATGAACCCTATTTGTGAGAAACTGTTCATGAAGTAGTAAACTGTTGGGGGGACTAATGTTTGAAAGCCAAGGGCATTTTTTGAGTATAATAGTCCAATAATAAAGAATCCACCCTGCACATAACATAAACAAGAAAGATTGATGTTAGGAAATTAAACTTTTACTGTATGTTTAATGAAATTATACTTAAAAGATTTAAAATACATGAATAATATTGACTATCGATTATTCTAATTTTATTACATATTCTTGGTCATAAAGTTTGGAATAATATACTTGATGTTTTTCTCTTATTTTTAGTAAGTAGTTATTGGTCTGAGCGATGCTACAGGTCATATTCATTTCTGGTAAGCTAATTTCTGGGGGAATCACAATTCTATAAAAAATAACAAGCATCTATACTCTCTATTTTTTTTTAAAATATTGTTGTTTTATTCATAAAACAATGTCCAAATTATATCATTGTGCTGAAATAAAATATATCTATGAGGACATAATAAAGGGAAGTGAAACTTACAAACATTTTGGCCATGGCTGGCAAACCAATAGGTTTAAGGATGAAGGAAGTAAGGGTAATAATAAGCAAGATTAAGCAAAATAGAAGGATAAATGTTGATGAATCTGAACCATGAGGATAAAAACGGTCGGACCATATGGTTGGAGACCCTAAATATATAGGTCGTTCTTGGCATAACATATCGGTTCCATTCCATGAACCCGCACTCCACAACTTTAAGGGATCATATTTTGATTTTATTGTCAATTGTTCTGCGGCCCCTGGGTCCATGGGCGAGTGGCTTTCTTTTTGTAGCTAATTTTTCCTGGTTGTGTATGTAAAGATCGATTTTGAGACGTATCTATTGTAGGTGGGTAGCGTTAGCAAATTCAAGAAAGATTATGAGAGAAAAAAGTGTTAAAAAGAGGTTTACATAAGTAAGAGAGAAATGTTTATGAGCTTGCTAGAGAGAGGAATTTTTGGTAGATTTACTATAGTTAGGAATTTAGGATGCCCAATGGAAAAATAGGGTGTACAGTTTGGTTTTACCAGAATTACGTAAGATTTGTTACCTTTTGTGGCTTTACGTGTTCCAAACAATATAAAATATACCTTGACTTCATTTTCTTTATTATTTTTGTTGGAAATACATGTATACAAGTGAAAATAGTATAGTGCACCCGGGTGCACCATGCGCATGGTGCATCAGGAAAGAACATTAGACATATTTTAAAGAACATGGGCAAAAAAAAAGAACATGCTAGTGTTAGAAAAAGAACATACCTATGTTTGACAAAAGAACATGTTTGTGTTTGACAAGAACATGACATTACAAAGAACATAAAGTCGTTACAAAAATGACATGTTATTTTTCATGGTTATTTAGGTGTTGAACGTGCTTAAAAAAGAACATTATATTTGACAAAAAAGAACATGTTCGTGTTTGACAAAGATGTAGGTGATCATTGGGTGGGTCGGGCCAAGGTTAAAAAATCAGCTCACTTCTCGGGTCGGGCCAAATTTTGGGCCGAAGTTTTTGTGCCCAAAATTGTCCGGCCATGCGGGCTTTTCGGGTCGAGTAAAAAAATCAACTAAAATGCATAAAACGCATTCCCAAACCCGCCCAATAAATTAAATTTAAGGGCGGGTCCGACCCGATTTTGGGGGTGAAAAAATTCTGCCCAAAACCCGTCCAAAATCGAGTCGGGTCGTTCTAACTTTGATCACCTCTAGCCAAAGAACATAAAGTCTTTACAAAAAGAACATGATAATACATTAAAGAACATGTTCTTTTTTCTGGTTACTCGAGTGATTGATTTTTTTTTTTTTTTAATGTACATACATTAAAGAATATATTGTATAATATAAAGAACATATTGTATAATATAAAGAACATATAATTCAAACTCAAATAACATAATCATCAAACTTAAAGAACATATTATGCTCATGTTCTTTATAAATATATATAATGTTCTTTTTTTGTCCATGTTCTTTTAAATATACCTTCTGTTCTTTTCGGGTGCACCATGCGCATGGTGCACCCGGGTGCACCAACCATACAATAGTATACAAGTAGTTTTTTTTTAACATGTTACAGCAGAATATTATCCAAAAAAAATTACTTATCCAAAAAAAAAAAAAAAAAAAAAAACCACTATATGTTTTTCCATTTTTTTCTATAAATAGAAAATTCAACTAAAATCACAAACTAAACGAATTGCATTCCAAAAGAAAATATTAGATCATGATCATGTGACTATGATTTCGTTGAATTGAAAAACACGAAGAAATTTATCATAACTACCACTCGCCAAATTCTCTTGTGAGTTAAATTTGTAATTTTATTTTTCGGAAATTGAATCCGAGTAACATTTTTTTATTCTGAAATGTTTTTTGTGTATTTATTAATCTAATTATATGTACGTAACACGTTATGTGGGATTAATAATCCAGATTAAATTGGTGTGATATTGTTTCCTTTGTATCTAAATATGAATTAAATAATGTCTTGTATGATTTGAGAATCATCAAAATGAATTTTTGCTTATGTTGTTTTGATCAAATTTCAATATTTATTGTTAATGGGATACCTTGAGTTACTGGGGTAACGAAATTTCGCCTTATTTTGTATAATTGACATATGCTTGTGGGGCGTAGCTAACACATTGTTAGTGAACAACGTAAATCCACTGCGGTGTTCTGTATTGTTTGTTAGTTATGCTCATTGTTTGCTCTAATGTTAAAGTGCGAACATTGATGTATGAACTGCTAACTGTCAATATATATAGGTTAAAAAATGGGGACAAAAGGAAACTCAGGAGACAATAAAGCCAGAAGCCCTTTATCAGTTATCATTGTGTTTGGATTGTGTTGTTTTTTCTATCTATTGGGTTCATGGCAGCGTAGTGGCTTCGGTAAGGGTGATCGAATCGCGGTACAGATTACACAGCAGACAGACTGCAGTATTCTTACTGATCTAAGCTATGAAACACATCATGGAGGTGAACTTCTTAATGAAGTCAAGAAATTTAAACCATGTCCTGATCATTTCATCGATTACACACCCTGTCATGACCAGGCGCGAGCAATGACCTTTCCTCGAGAGAATATGAACTATAGGGAGAGACATTGTCCTCCACAGGAAGAGAAATTGGATTGTCTGATACCTGCACCTAAGGGGTATGTGACCCCGTTTGCTTGGCCAAAGAGTCGCGACTATGTACCTTATGCAAACGCGCCTTACAAGAGTTTGACAGTGGAGAAGGCGGTCCAGAACTGGATACAGTATGAGGGTACTTTGTTTAGGTTCCCCGGTGGAGGAACGCAGTTCCCTCAAGGTGCAGATGCTTATATTAATGATTTAGCCTCCGTCATTCCTTTAGATAATGGGATGATTAGAACTGCTCTGGATACTGGCTGTGGGGTAAGTCTGATTTGTCTAATTTGGTTTTTTTGGTGTGGTGTAACCATATATTATACTCCCTCCGTTTTGTATTAGTCTATACTAGTATGCCATAGATTAATATGGGAAGGAGGGAGTTATGCAGAGTTGTAAGCAATTTCGATGATTACATGTTTTATATGAGTAATTGACAAATTTCTAGCTAGGTTGCAAGTTGGGGAGCATATTTGTTCAAGAAAAATGTTCTAGCTATGTCAATTGCACCTAGAGACTCACACGAGGCACAAGTTCAGTTTGCTCTTGAAAGAGGAGTTCCTGCTATTATTGGTGTTTTGGGAACTATAAAGCTCGCTTATCCTCCTAGATCATTCGATATGGCTCACTGCTCTAGGTGTTTGATTCCGTGGGGTGCAAATGGTAAGTGGATTTTGTCAATTGTTCTACTAACACGGAATGTTACAAACCCGAATAAAGGCCTGAACCCCAAGCTGCCTGCTGCTATAAAGAAAACAGAATGAATGAATTGTTGCTTATAGTTTGTCTAATATTACAAGTTATTAAGGAAATGATTTTCTGCAGGAGGACTTTACATGATGGAAGTTGATAGAGTCCTTCGACCCGGGGGCTACTGGATACTCTCCGGTCCCCCCATCAATTGGGAAAACAATTATGCAGCATGGAAGCGTCCCAAGGAGGAGCTTCAAGAAGAACAAAGGAAAATTGAAGAGATTGCTGAACTTCTGTGCTGGGAGAAAAAATCTCAGAAAGGTGAAATTGCTATTTGGAGAAAAAGAGAAAATTGCAGGGAACGTGTTTCTCGTGCTACTATGTGTGATCCACAATACAGCACTGATGTCTGGTAGATTTCTATGTGTTCTGTTCTTCTTTGCTGTTTTATTGGTAGATTTTTCAACAAAATGAACCTGTACCAGACCTCTAGCTAGCTATGTTAATTGGATATGTGCAGTCCTGTACTCGTGCCAGGCATAGATATGTCCATGTTTTTAGTTCAAAATGAATTGTCAAATGACTACACTCCATTTCATCTTGAAAGTGTTCAGGATGTGACATAAGTATTGAAGTGAAATGAAGAGTCAGAGTAACATACACCATTCGATATAATTCACCCAACTACATTTTTATAACTCATTCCTGAAAATGTGTGCTTAAAAAACCTTTTTTTTTTTTTTCCTTCTCATAATCAGAAGTTTTGCTCTACCTCTCAAATTGCAGTACTTAGAATCATCGTTTGGCTTGTGCATAACAGGTATAAGAAGATGGAGGCATGCATAACTCCGTACCCTGAAACAAGTTCTCCTGATGAAGTTTCTGGCGGAGAGTGGAAGCAGTTTCCAGACAGGCTTAATGCTATTCCTTACAGAATAGAGAGTGGTTCTGTTCCTGGAGTCACAGCTGTAACGTTTCAGGATGATATCAAACTTTGGTCAAAACACATTGATTACTATAAAAGGGTGAACAAACTGATTGATACAGGAAGGTACCGCAACATCATGGATATGAATGCTGGTCTTGGAAGTTTTGCTGCAGCACTTGATTCCCCAAGTCTGTGGGTTATGAATGTTATGCCCACTATTGCAGAGAAGGATACTTTGGGTGTTGTTTATGAGCGAGGTCTGATAGGAATATATCATGACTGGTAAGCCTTCTGTAAACTTCTGTTTTCTGTTAGGTCTGGACTTAGCTATGCCTGTGTGCGAATTTTGTGTCAATGTTTTGGTAGCGCTGTTTCATGTCATCTTAGCTTACTATTATTCTTTCTTCCCACCAATTTCCATCAATTAACTGCTTGAGATTTTAATTTTTTTGTGTTAATAACTTGATAGCTTCGTTCTGTATGTGTCTACAGGTGTGAAGCCTTCTCTACATACCCCAGGACTTATGACTTGATACATGCAAACCGTCTTTTTAGCTTGTACAAGAACAAGTAAGAATCGTTTCATCTTTCATTCTTTTTGTTAAATTCATTACAAATAGAGGAAACCTGTCTTTATTGTTCGTTGTTAAAAGTGTTCATGTATAACAAAAAGCTAATTAACAATCATTCAACAGCTTCTTATACATACGAAGTACAATTTTTCAACTCCTCTGTATAAGCTGTGTCATTAGTCCACCATATTAGAACTGCGAAACATAATCTGGATAGTTGGTGTGTTGCACCCCTTAGTGAGGTTTTCGGTCACAAACTAGGCCTATTGTCTATTGAGTTTGCGTTATGCAGCAAATGATCCTATAGTTAACTCATGTAATTCAGTGCCAACTCTGTTGTGAATCATAAGCAGATGTAATGCAGACGATATCCTACTAGAAATGGATCGCATCCTACGGCCTGAAGGGGCAGTGATCTTCCGAGATGAAGTAGATGTACTTATGAAGGTGAAGAGAATAGCAGCCGGCATGAGATGGAACACCAAAATGGTGGATCATGAAGATGGTCCTCTCCTCACCGAAAAGGTGTTGTTTGTTGTCAAGCAATACTAAGTTGCCGGTGAAAACAATTCCACTTCTGTTTAACTGTAAGTCTGTAAGTAGAAACAATTTTAGTACAGTTACCAATACTACAGGCCAGGCAACCACAATTTTGGAGTAATTTCTTGTTCACTAGAGTATGGATATCAAAGCAAGGTCCTCAATGTGCAGCAAGCCTTCCCACCATTTTTCTGTCGAACTTTCTTGCACTCCTTGCAGATGCAGTGTACGCGTATCTGCAAGTGAGCGA